TAAACGTGACTATGAGCCCCACCTGTGCGGCAGTTGTGAAATTTCAAGGCGTTCTCGACCCGGAAGGACTTTTCACACGTAGTGCACTTATACCTGTACTCCACATCAGGCTACACACACACACACACACACACACACACAGACAGACACACACACACACACACAGACAGACAGACGCACATACACACACACACACACACACAGACAGACAGACAGACAGAACAACACACACAGACACAGACAGACAGACAGACACACACACACACACAGACACACACACACACACAGACAGACAGACAGACACACACACACACACACACACACACACAGACAGACAGACAGACAGACAGACACACACACACACACACACAGACAGACAGACAGACAGACAGACAGACAGACACACACACACACACACACACACACACAGACACACACATATATATATATTATCATTACTACGTATTATTATGCCCATGATGTTAAACTAATTGCAGTGATGCTGTAACAGAATAACTCAAACCGTAAAAATGTTTTTGCAGATTTACATTTTTGAACACTGTCTCTCATATAAACACAGTTACAACCAGCGTAGTACTCCATAGTATTTGTACTCTGACTCGTCTCTGTCTTCATACTTTTGTACTCTCACTTGTCTGGGTCTCGATAGTATTTGTACTCTGACTCGTCTTGGTCTCGATAGTATTTGTACTCTGACTCGTCTCGGTCTCGATAGTATTTGTACTCTGACTTGTCTCGGTCTCGATACTTTTTGTACTCTGACTCGTCTGGGTCTCGATAGTATTTGTACTCTGACTTGTCTCGGTCTCGATAGTATTTGTACTCTGACTCGTCTTGGTCTCAATATTGTTGGGTACTATGACTCATCTTGGACTTGATAATATTTGTACTCTGACTCAACTTGGTCTCGATAGTATTTGTACTCTGACTCGCCTCGGTCCCGATAGTGTTTGTACTCTGACTCATCTCGGTCTCAACACTTTTTGTAATCTGACTCGTCTTGGTCTCGATAGTGTTTGTATTTTGACTCATCTTGGTCTCGATAGTATTTGTACTCTGACTTGTCTCAGTCTCAACAGCATTTGTACTCTGACTCATCTCGGTTCTGACAATATTTGTACTCTGACTCAACTTGGTCTCGATAGTATTTATACTCTGATTTGTCTTGGTCTCGATAGTATTCGTACTCTGACTCGTTTTGGTCTCGACAGTATTTATAGTCTCACTTGTCTCTGTCACAATAGTATTTGTAATCTGACTCATCTTCAGAGGCGCTGAACGCTAAGAACCTCTGGATGCTGATGCACAGTCGTCTCTTAAAGACATGAAGAACTTCCTCGCATCTGACTCAGTTTACAAATGGAGCCACATTCTGATAATTCAAAAGATATATTTATTTAAGTAGAAGAGGAGATATTTTATTATGATTTGAATTTGATGAAATATTTTTCCTGTGTATTTTCTTGCCTTGCAGAGACAAACCATCTGCACATTTTTGCTGTTCTTGTCATGGTCTCATACTGGACTAAGGTGGTTCTCCGTACCTCGTTCTTGCTGTGTTTGTAAGAGATGTGCTGCTTCAGACTCTCTTTACGGCTGAACATCTTATCACACTCGTCACATTTAAACAGCTTAGCACCTGCCACACAGAAACAAACAACACCGCTCATTTAAATACGGCGGCGCAGGGACAGGTCATTACAGGCTCAAGACACACCGATTTTAGGGGCGCTGTGATTAGACAGGGTCGTTACCGTGAGAACGGATGTGCCGGTTGAGGTTGCTGCTGTTCTGAAACAATTTGCTGCAGAGGCCACACTGATAAACCCGCTTATGGTCTCCACTCGGCCTCAGGAACCGCTTCCTCATCCCGGACCTACAGAGAGTAAATAACATTGACACAACCATCAACAAAGCAGCCGTCACTGTCAGAGGAACAGGAGGGGAAATTCACATCTCTCAAAGTAAGATTTGAACATTTTTGCTTTTCAAAAGTTCTACTGGTCTGTTGTTCATAACATGTTCACACAATGTGAAGAGCAGCTGATGTTTACAAATGTACTGAAACCAATAATAAGGTTTTCCTATGACAGAGAAAAGGTCATTCATGTCAAAACACCCCAAAAAAGCCTTACTACTTTACTACCAACTACACATACTGCTAATTTCTGCTAGCCCGTCTACAGGATTTCTAATATTATGTTAGCAATAAGCTAATGCTGGTGCACATAAACAATTTTTGGCTGTTCACAATTAAACACAGACCTTTGAAGCTTGTAAAGACATTCTATGTGTTTTATCTGAATCTTGTATCAGTCATTATCAGATATCTGATCTTGTGTGTATCAGTGTTACAGAGACTCTCTCAGTAAAGAGTTCTGACACAGAGCTGCTGCCACTGTTTAACATTCCTAACAACTAACCAGAACCTGCTTAGACTACGACTCGACATCTTAGTCACAGTCATATTCACAGAGTGAGTGATCTAGAACTTCCAGAAGGACTAGAGTGATGTATTTTGGTTCCACTCACTGGAGATCAAAGCATGATTGGTTCACTTCCTAATTATGTTGGTAGTTAATCTAATGTGTAAGGCCTTAAGCCCAGCTCCTGAAGTCCTAACCAATGAGGGAGCTCGCTCAACTTAGAATTTAAATACAACAAGCCTCAGGGTTCTATTTAATTTAAATGAACTAAAAATCACAGACTAAGGTATTTTTAGTTCCCAGATGGCAGGGAGGGGGACTAAACTGTCCCTGACAATTTTGCATTGCTAACAACTAACCGGAACACTGCTTAGATTATGGCTCATATACACAGTCAGTGACGTATCTAGAATTTGTATATTTGTGTCATTTTTTTTACTACTCAGATCATTTTTGGTTAAATGTTCGCAGTGAAAGTGGGGGTTGTGTCCTTACTTTGCGAGGGGCAGGAGGCAGCGCGTGGTTTTGGTCAGTTTGACCTGCAGACCGTCTCCGTCACCCATGAAATCCTGGACGTCCAGCACCGGCAGGGTCGGCTCCGGGGTCAGAGAGACGAGGGGCTGCTCGACTGCCTCAGAAACTGGGGGGTCTACATGCACAGTCAGATTAAAGCGATAGTTTAGTCAAACATCACATTACCAGGCACACTTTACTGAGTCACTCCACAAGATCAGTGCAGAACGCTCACTTCAAAAACTAAGAATAAAAAAGTTAAGAAATCACAAATTTTGGCCCCCATAGTTTCAATTACACATTGTTCTTACCAAGAAAGTGAGGTTTGAGTTGTGACAAGGGGATATTTCAAACTGACCACCACACTGTTATCCAGTTTAGACCCTCTAACATCAGTTTTAACAGTTAATTACGACTTTTCTGTCAATACGGTGTGACGGGGTGGATGTGTTACGCTTGACAGACCCTGACAAAGATGTAAAAAACAAAAATTATCAATGTTAAACATTTGTAAAAAAACAAGATTTATTGGCTTTTGAAATTTGCTCCCCTAAAGCCGTAAAAGGTCACTTCATTACATCACTAATCTGACCAAACGTTTTTGTGATTTTGTAATATTTAAGGAGGAACTTTGACGACTGTCTATACAGGCATGCAAAAATGCCTATGATCCTAAAAGTACATATTGTCACTATCCAAAAAAACAGGCATCTCCCTTTTTTGCAATTTTTAATTTTCTAAATAATTTGGGTTCAGCAGCTCCCTTTACATAGTGCTGAAATTTCATGAACAGAAATGTTCCAAAATGGCTTGGATTACAACTTCTTTATATTCTTTATTTATATCTAACTTACAGTTAGATATAAATAAAGTGTCCACTCACTGTCCACTCTATTAGACACTCCTACCTTGTCGGTCCACCTTGTAGATGTAAAGTCAGAGACGATAGCTCATCTGCTGCTGCACAGTTTGTGTTGGTCATCCTCTAGTCCTTCATCAGTGGTCACAGGACGCTGCCCACAGGACGCTGTTGGCTGGATATTTTTGGTTGGTGGACTATTCTCAGTCCAGCAGCGACACTGAGGTGTTTAAAACCTCCAGCAGCACTGCTGTGTCTGATCCACTCGTACCGGCACAACACACACTAACACACCACCACCACGTCAGTGTTACTGCAGTGCTGAGAATGATCCACCACCCAAATAGTACCTGCTCTGTGAGGGTCCATGGGGGTCCTGACCACTGAAGAACAGGGTAAAAGGGGGCTAACAAAGTATCAGAGAAACAGATGGACTACAGTCTGTAACTGTAGAACTACAAAGTGCACCTATATAGTAAGTGGAGCTGATAAAATGGACAATGAGCGTAGAAACAAGGAGGTGGTCTGAATGTTATACCTGATCAGAGTATATATATATATTGGAACAGAGAAAATGAGCCAGTAGAGCCACATTTTTAAAAATACTATCAAAAACTGTGATTTTTATTCAATATTTGGCACTAAATCCAGTTAAACTGACTAATTTTGCTCTCTTTATAATGAAACATGCAGTTGGTCAGTGTCTACAAGCACTGATGATAAACACAATATGATCAGAAAAGTATTGTATTGTGACATAATTTATCATGATAACGATATGTATCGCCATTGGGTTAAAATGCTCAGCCTCCTCATTTCTGTACCTCCTTACCTTTAATGACCTCAGGTGTCCCACTGTCTCCTGACCTCTGAGCTCTGAACTTGCGCTGCCTGTTTGGTCTCCTTTTGGGCTCAGCCGTGGCAGGTGTGGTAGGTGTGGTGCTGCCGTTGGCGTTGTGGTCCAGGGACACCACTGCTGCCACCTGCAGGACAGGTGAGGGTGTGCAGGGTGGGGCTGGGGGCGGCATGGGGCTGAACAGCTGGTCTGGGACAGTAAGAGGAAACTGGTCAGTCAGTATGACCTTAATTCAGCCAGTTTAACCACAGCTCTGCTTAATTAAGGGAACCACATAGCAGCAATTTGAGTTTTCTGAGCTCTGACTCACCGCCATCTTTCACTTTGGCTACAGGGGGCGCTGTTACTCCAGTCATCTCCTGAGGGAGGCCTGGCTTTCCGGACACCATTCCTGAAAAATCATTAACATCACTGACCAAACTCAGTGGTGTAGTCTAGGCTGAAGTAGAGCGTATACTGTGGCTAGCAGTTAGCATGACTAGCCTAGTTAGCACACAGACACACTAAACACTAAAAAATTAAACTAAAACACTGTTTTTCACTGTAAAGCTCCCAGAACTCATGAGGAGCAAGGGAGGGTTATATCACACCTGTTTCTCGTTGTAAACAGTACAAGCTGTCACTTAAGGTCTCCACGCCATCGGGGGGGCCGTGAGTGTGTAGTTTTTTGCTTGTTTATATTTTAACATGGTTCTGTCCTGAACAAAATGAACAAGTGTTCATTCTTTGTCATTCATGTGAATTCATGCTGCCAAATGTTTAGAAACAGCCCTAGGTAAACATACATACATACATACATCATCTAAAACGCTTATCTTTCTGGGTCGCAGTGGGGTGCTGGAGCCTATCCCAGCTGTCGAACCCATGCTATTCTCGCTGTGAGGCGACAGCGCTATATATATATATGTGTGTGTGTGTGTGTGTGTGTCTGTGTGTGTCTGTGTGTGTGTGTGTCTGTGTGTGTGTGTCTGTGTGTGTGTGTGTGTGTGTGTGTGTGTGTCTGTGTGTGTGTGTGTGTGTGTGTGTGTGTGTGTGTGTGTCTGTGTGTGTGTGTGTGTGTGTGTGTGTGTGTGTGTGTGTCTGTGTGTGTCTGTGTGTGTGAAATAATGCAATAAGCCACTCAACGTCTATGTGTTACACCGTTAAGGAGTGTTGTTGCACCAATGATTAGTACAATAATCTAGTCTTACAAAAAGCAGTGTAGTTCAGATATTATGCCATGGACAGCACGATGCCTTTAAAAACTTAAACTAATAACTGCATAGATACAGAATTCAGTTGATGCGTGCTGTCATATGTGTGTATATCGAGTATTTTTACAACAGCTTTGAACAATTTTAGAACCAGAAATAGTTTTATAATAATCATGGATGGATCTATCATATGGGAGACTTGGGTGACCGTCCAGGGGCACAAATACATTACTCAAAAAAAAACCTGCAAATTTTAAAATTTATTTTAATCATTTTAACGAATGACAAAGATAATTAATTGAATTAAAGATAACATTTGTGATAACACATTTAACATGTAATTTACTTTAAATCTATTCAAATATCACGCTAGTCGTTCTACATACAATAATCCAGCTATAAATATTGAAAAACCATCTTCATTACTTTAAATTTGGCAGACAACGTCTATGAGGGTAAAACACAGGCAGAACTGTGTTTTTGTATCTTATCCTATGTGCACTGTGACATTAAGGGATCTCTGTGAAATGAACTGATGGCCTCTCGTCTGCATACCCAGCTGATTTTACCAAGGTGTTTGCTGAGTTAATGATAGTTCAGTTGAGATATTTTGTGAAGAATTAATAGCGCAAATCTGCAAAACAGTGACAAGGCGAAACACTGAATATGTGATACGTGTGATAATGGCCCGTAATGTTTGCGGAGTGCGTGGGGACCCTCTAATGGCCAGGGGCACCAAACAGCCTTAATCTGGCCCTGAAAATAAAGCCTTAGCCATTTACCTGCTGGTGGTGGAAGTACGGGTGGTTTCAGCACAGGCTTCTCCATCTTTTTAGCATAAAAAGCTCCGTACCAAACTCTGAGCTCCGAACCCGGCAGAACATCCTGCAGAAAACAGATTTACTGTGGATGCACTCAGAGAATATAATACACATACACAGAGCTGTATTACTGTCTATATGGGGACTTAGCCCCATATTCTATGTCACTGTAGCTAAATACTGACTCCTAAACCCTCAAATCCTCTCAGAACCCGAAGAAGACTGCATCCTCAGGCTGAGTGAGCGCTGCGTTTTGATGAAAAGGCATTTTTCCCTCAGCAAACAGTCCTCACAGTGTTAAACTCTGCAAACTCTTTCTTTGTTGGGACATTTGGTCCCTTGTAAAGGTGAGGCTGAAGTTAGCTTCTTATTTGAACTTTCTATTCTAACAAATGAATATAAAAAAATCATTTTTGGCCAAATGATCACTTTAAAGAAAGCATATCGCTGCTGTCGGAACAAAACCTTGTATCTCCAAAATGGTAACTTTAAAGGAGAATGAAAAAACATACTTTACTTTTAATGTAAGTCAATGGAACCAAACATTTACCCAGGTCATTTTGGGTCGTTCCTTTTGGTCCATTCATCATGAAATTTACACATGTAAAGTATGTAAAGAGAAACAGGCATTTTCAAATTATGATAAAAACTGAAAAATGACAAAAATGGAGATACGAGGTTTCGTTCCGACAGCAGTGATATATAATATATCTATGCAGATCTGCCTGTAGACTCTGGTTTAGTCCTGCTTTAATGTGTCAGATCTACCTGGGACGTGTTGAAGTAAAGCTCGTCGTCCTGCTGGTAGGCCGTTAGGTTCTGGTGCTTGTGGTCGGTCGCAGGTCTGACCATCATCATCCAGTTACAGTCGTCTTCATTAGACGTGTCGAAACAGACCACCGAGCCGTCTTTCTGGAAGATCTACCAAACACAACACGCAAAAGTACATACATCGTTCTTCATCTCCAACTGTAACAGCTGAGCTCCGTCAAAACAGCGGAGCTCAATTAAAAAGAGGCTGGAAAACTGAGCACAACCGAGAGGAACCCTCAGAACCTTCGAGGCCTTCAGAAAAAGGATAAAGTCTGTGAGATAAAACATCACCGTAAAACTTCTGGAAGCTCTAGATACGTCACTGACTCTGAATATGAGCCATACTGTAAACATGCTTCATTTAAATATATGTCAATGTTTTTTACAAGCCTCAAATGTCTAAGAAAGCTAAAAGACAGCTAACAGGCTAAAAGACTAAAAGCTAACAGGCTAAAAGCTAACAGGCTAAAAGGCTAAATGCTAACAGGCTAACAGGCTAAAAGGCTAAAAGACAGCTAACAGGCTAAAAGGCTAAAAGACAGCTAACAGGCTAAAAGGCTAAAAGAAAGCTAACAGGCTAAAAGAAAGCTAAAAGAAAGCTAACAGGCTAAAAGAAAGCTAAAAGAAAGCTAACAGGCTAAAAAGGCTAAAAGACAGCTAACAGGCTAAAAAAGGCTAATACATTACAAAACCATCAGGAACCAACAGAAATGCTTAATGGTTTCTATGGGTTTTTTCAGCAGGGCAATCAGCTGTAACTCTGTATCGTTGTGTTTTGTTATCTTAGACTGAGTCCTTCATATCTACATAGGGAGCAGCTCCTCTTCAACAGAGGCCGCCATGTTTCTACAGCAGCCCAGAACGCATAGATATACAGACCTAGACGCCGTGTTGGGTCCAGTCAGGCACATCAACGGCGCCGCCATTTTGGAGAGGTCAACATCGCTGCTGGACTGCATTCAGTACCATTACAGAGCGGCAGTTTAATAAAGATACTGTCCAAAATTACACTATTTCAGGAATATCACACTCAGAAAGTGGGATAGGATTATATAACGGAGGGAACGCAGTGATCCACACTCATGTCTGTGTGATGTTTATGTAGATATGGTCGTGTGGTTGGTGAAGCACAGAGAACCTGTTGATGTGATTGTTTTTCCTCTGGTTTTGTATTAAACTTATTTCATTTAATAGTCTATTCAGGGATCTTAACTGTATGTAGTAGATGGTTAATGCGATAGCATAAGTTATAGCATTCCTCAATCCGTGTAGATAATCATAATAGATTAACTTTAGCACCTTCTTACACAAAACTGCAGTTAGCTTCTTATTAGCCAGCTTCTTGTTAGAATTTTCCCGTTCCACCTTAAATGTTGCGTCAGCCAGCTTCTTGTTTGAATTTTCCCGTTCCACCTTAAATGTTGCGTCAGCCAGCTTCTTGTTCGAATTCTCCCGTTCCACCTTAAATGGTTGTGGCTGATTTAATCCTGAGACTCTTCATCTCTCAATACAAGTGAATCTGTTCACAAGTGGATCTTAACCTCTCCAACATGGCGGACGGACAGACGTATCGCCTCAGATAGACATAAACAGACAACGCGGCTCCTAGGTATGGATATCTATGTTGCCGCCGGTGCTGCTGTCCATTTTGTGTTGTGAGAAGTTTGAGAACCCAAATTTTGCCAAACAGAGGATCAGACTTATTATTTAGCACAAGGGAAAGTGAGGGGGGGTGAATCGTCACCGCCAAAGAGGAGAAAACATGAAGAAGTAAAACGAAATCAGGACAAAAGCTGATGGCCACCGCAGGTTCTACTACGTGCTTGGAGGGGTGAGGGAGGGGAACGCAATCTGCAACCTCAACACTAGATGGCACTAAATCTTACACACCGCACCTTTAAATATTTAAAAATCCTAAAAGTCTATGAATAAAATGCAGTATTCAGTGAATGAAAGTTCTGGTCCTCCTTCAGCAGTCTAGAGTAGTAACACCCAACTAAGGCAGAAGAACTGTTTCCTGTGGTTATTATAATATTCATAATAATATCACGGCCTCTCGTTCCTTACTGCTGTAATGTCTCTGTGTTCTATGGTTACCTTTAAAGGAAACGGCCCCTCGGTGTTCAGGTTAGGGACCCTTTTGGCCTCGAAGGGTCCGAAGCGAGTTCTCTTGACGAGCCGCTGGAGAACAAACACTCCCTCGGTTCCTTCCTCGGCCTGACGGATCTCCAGACTGCTCGGCAGAGACGACCTGCAGCAGCACCAAAATGGAACGTTCAGCTCAATGTATACAGTTAAAAAAGAAGGTTCTCCTCTTTGGTGCTTCATAGAACCATATACAACACATTCTCCGTCAATCTGAAGAACCATTTCACCATGGAAATCTACAGAGCATCCAAAACTTTACAAGCTAGGGGAGAGTGGGGCACAAACTTTTTCTAATATATAATATTAATGTAATTTTTTTAATATCTGAGGAAGATGAATCATTTTTCACAATTTAATGAAATTATTAATATTAATTCAGTACAATTCTGTGTTGTTTGAACCAGATGACCTTTCCAGCCTAAATATATAAAAATATATTAATCAAAATAAATATGATCAGCGAAACCATATGGAAAAAAATATATGGACATGTATTTCTGTATATTTGAAACACATTTCAAACATGATACTGAAATACATTCCAAACACTAAACTGTGTTTCAGAATGTTTTGCCATATTAACCAAATATATGTTAAATACATTCATTTTAAAATGCGTGGGGAAATATTACACATAAACCAAAACAACTGTGTGTAAATGTGTTTATCAAATCCATCTGAAAATGTATGAAAATATCCAGAATCCTGTCTGATGCTCTTCACTGTCTGATGCTCTTCACTGTCTGATACCTTTTAGAAATGAATTTGTGTTCCAGTCTCTTCATTTTAAATCTGATCTAATGATCCTTTATCAGGACAGAAGCGAGTGTTGTGGGTATTGATACTCTGTGAAAATGCAGTTATGATCTGATATCTTGTTTATGTGAAATACATTGTGTGTGAGAGTCTGACTGCAGACATACATGGTTAATGTAAAGTACAGTGCAGATCACAGAAGAACGTTTAGTTACATCTGGAACCTTCATTACAGACAACTGAACACAGATAATAACTAACACTAATAAAAGCATTTTAAACATATTTAACAAAACATTTTCATACTTTGCAAAAATATATTTGATAAATACTTCTGGAATATATTTTTTTCCATATGGGAAAAAAGGCTCAAACACTGAACACTGAAATATAATTTATTGACATCTACAGCACGTATGTGATAAATTTGAGTATAAATATTTCCAAAAACTCCCTTTTGTGAATGTATATGTAAATTATATCCAGCTCTGTTGACCTAAAGCCAACTTTACTGGAACCTGTTTACATTAAATACCCATGTTACATTTTACCCCACGCTAGTTTGTGTCATCAGTGTGCGTTTATGTAATTTTTAAAAAAATTTCAACATTAATATACAGCTAATTTATATACTTCTTCAGCAAAATCATAACGTATTAATATATATATTACAATATATTCTATTTATAGACTATAATATACTGACAACATACATATATTTCTTTTACACAGGGGTACGAACTGCGAACAGCCGCCAGATAATTCATTTGTACTCGGCTTGTTTCTAAAACAGCCTTTTAGTGTCTGAAACTAATCTGATGAAGAAACGTGGTTTTTAAATTTGTGCACTGAAGCCACTGTAGTTCTGTTATCACTTATAATCTCTCCTTGAGTGTAAAAGGCTGTTTACAGGTTTTTTCAAAGAACCGACACTAAACTTCAGCCCCAGTCATCATACAATTCAGCAACACTGCACATTAAAAGCTCTTTGTTCACTCAGTGCCTTAAAATATCCTTGTGTTCATTCTGGACCTTAAACTTCTTCACTTCACTTTATCTATTCCTTAAACCCAGTTTTGGTTTACTGGAAGCTTCTTCCATCTGAAAGCTGCCCATATGGCCTCCCCACGGACCCCTGTCCATCCACTGCTGTAGCCAGCGGGCACTCACAGTGCCAACCTAACTTTCTGTGCCCAGTGCCCCCCCCCCACCACCACCACCACCACCACTCACCGTGCCCGGCTCAGCACAAACGAATCCTTCACCGTGACGACCGGACCCAGCTCAGGACACTCCGAGTTATGGTACTGCCCACAGTCCTCACACCCTGGAGTGAAGAGACGTTACTTAGCAACACAGCGGACACTTTATTGGAAACACCCACTTTGTGCTTCCACTAAGTGGCCACTTTATTAGAAACACCTACCTTGTGCTTCCACTAACTGGCCACTTTATTAGAAACACCTACCTTGTGCTTCCACTAACTGGCCACTTTATTAGAAACACCCATCTTGTAATTCCACTAACTGGCCACTTTATTAGAAACACCCATCTTGTAATTCCACTAACTGGCCACTTTATTAGAAACACCCATCTTGTAATTCCACTAACTGGCCACTTTACTGGAGACATTAAAACCACCTCCTTGTTTGTACACTCACTGGCCATTTTAAACAGTGTGTCCACTCTATTAGACACTTCAACCTTGTAGTTTGTGGATGTGGGCCAACCTCTAGTCGTTCAACAGTGGTCACAGGACGCTGCCCACAGGACGCTGTTGGCTGGATATTTTTGGTTGGTGGACTTTTCTCAGTCCAGCAGTGACACTGAGGTGTTTAAAACCTCCAGCAGCACTGCTGTGTCTGATCCACTCAGACCAGCGCAACACACACTAACACACCACCACCACATCAGAACTACAGAGTGAAACTATATGGTCAGTGGAGCTGATAAAGTGGACAGTGAGAGTAGAAACGAGGAGGTGGTTTAATGTTATGACTGATCTGTGTGAGTGAATAAGTTCTACTTACAGATGTAGTCATCTGACGTCTGCTCATCAGCCATCCTGTCGCCCTGAGAACGTTCAAATAAGAGTGTAAACCACATTCGCTCAACACATCACACATTCACATCATGTGTTATTGCCCTTATATAATAAAGGTATTCATCATCATTTACTCATACAGTACACAATAGTTTCGTCTATTACTAAAATAAATCACCAACTGTTATTAGGTGATCAAAGGACACAATAAACTATGCAGGATGTGCAGTGTGAGTGGCACAATGTGAGTCTGTAGTGAACGCAGTGCCGGCTCTACCTAATAAGCGACATAAGCAGCTGCTTAGGGCCCTGCGGCCACCGGGGGAGCCCTAACAACTTCTGGGTTACAACTGTCACATTAAGGTCTATGTATAATCCAGACGAAGTGTCGCTCAACAAAAAAACTGTGGTTGACAGATATCGCAGTGCTGTTGGCTTCCATAGTCCTGTGCTAGCGACAAAAACGTAGATATTTAATATTATCTGTAGTTTCTATGGAAACGTATGACAACGCAACTAAAGTCCACAGTGAAACTGCATTAACACTTGGGATTTTAAGCTACAGCAACCAGAAACACTGCTTGTTTTCTCAGACACGTGTGTTTCACTCATGAGTTCTTTCCCCGTCATGCAGGGTTGCCAGATTCGTGGTAATCCCAAAAAATTCCAGCTAGTCTGAAGGCGCAGCGTGGGTGGAAATTTCGCTGTCGCGGGTGCGTTTTCTGCTCAGACTGCTTTCTAAATGAACTACAGTCGCAGAAAAAGGTTTGAAAATGAAAAAGAAGCATCTTATGTATATTGTATATTGACACTAGTATGAATAGCTGGCAACCCGTTCTGCTTCACCTGCGCCGCCTGTTCACACATACAGCAGCAGAGCAGCCAGAAGGTGACCACAGCTGCACACTGTGACCACGGCAGCAGTCCAGAATGTAGAACTTTGAGTTTCTATCCAATCAGAGTGTGCGACAACGTCTGCACCTTTCAAATTGTTTGGGACGGGTCCCCTAGTGGGGTGCGAAGGAATTGCAGAGGGGCCACAGGTGAGAGCTCAGATAGAAAATTGCAAAAAATAAATTTATTTACAAAATTTACTGGCCACATATTATATAATATATAATATAATATATGAATATAAATATTTAAACGACTCTGTCATAAAAATGTTTTTATGAAGCTCTTATTGTCGTGTACTGCTTTTTATTTTATTTTAATTTGTTAGCCAGTTAATAATAGATAATTAAAGTTCTAGACAGAACTCAGTTACTCAGGTAACAATGTTCTCGATCAAAATGAAATCATGACATTTACGAGCAGCCAATCGCGCAAAACATGAGGAAGAATCGACAAGACGAGTAAAAAACATACACCATTCAACACTTTTAAAAGGGATGGTTCTTCAAGGGTTCTTCAGGTTACGTTCACATTACCAGGCTGAAGTGGCACAAATCCAATGTTTTCCTCTAATGTGACTCAGATCCTAGATCGGATACGTATCAGATTGGTGGCCATGCGACCTTAATGAGACGCTCAGATCGGAATTCATGTGCTTTTTTTCCCGCTGCACCATCATTCAGCGTTACCATGGCAGCAGCGCCGAACAGAAATTAAAGCCTGTAAACGGTGGAAAAGCAGCTCATCTCACCTTTTTCTCCTTCGTCTCGCTCTAATAATGAAGCTGAGAGCTGATCAGAGTTAATTATCTTCTCAGCGAAGCTCGTTCTGCTCGTTAGTTTGTGCTGATGATGAACGTGATTCATTCACGTGACGTTACTGAGTAGGATGAGCTCATGAGGGTCATTTCAGGACGCCGGTTCGTCACATTAATGACAGATTTGAGTCACTGACCTAAACGAGTGCGAACCATCCTGTCAGAGAGATCGGATTTGAGCAAAAAATGAGATTTGATCTACGTAATGTGAACGTAGCTTTAGTAAAGAAAATGGTTCTATATAGAACCATGAACACTCAAAGAACCCTTTGCATGATCAAAGTGTTCTTTGTATCACAAAAGTGTTCTTCAGATTGATGGATAATGTGCTGTAGATGGTTCTACATAGAACCTTTTTGAAAAGGGTTCTAAAAAGCACCAAAAAGGGCTTGCCATTGTAACAACTGCTACAATTGCTGGTGCTGTATAGAACCATAAACAACACATTCTCCATCAATCTGAAGAACGATTTCACCATGCAAAGAACTCTTTAATCATGCACAGGGTTCTTTGAGTGTTTGTGGCTCTCTATAGAACCGTTTCCTTTAAAAATTCATCTTTTGTGCCGGCTGCTCCTTGCTCCGTGTTGCAGAAGGGAGCTTTAGCTCCGCCCCTCAGTTAAAATAGACATTTGTTGTTGTTGTTGTTGTTGTTATTGTTGGTTTAATTTGTGTTATTTATGCTTGAATTGGATCAGGGAGTGGTTTGAGTGTCTTCCCCCTTTACTCGCTGTATTTGAGAGGCCTTTTCTAGCTTGTTCAATAAAAGAGCTTTTCTGAGCAGAAATTACGGCCTTTTCTGGTTCACCACAACATACAGGAAGTAGAGCAATTATAACGGTTATAAAGCACAACTGTGGTCAATCTGGACAGGGTTAGAGCCAGCTAAGGTTAAAGTTAGCTGGATAAGCAAGAAATACTGCAAGAACCCCACCCCCCCCACCCTAGACATCCTGCTCAGGGCCTAAATCGCAATTTAATACTGTGCAATTTTTCGCAAGAGCTGCAGTTTTTGAAATTTTAGGCTACAATATCAAAAACATTGTCCTACATTTTAAGTGATTAAATTTAACCTAATAACACAGAGCTTGTGAGCTGCCTGTGGATCAGTTAGACCAATCAGAGGCAACCAAACCTTCATGCGTTGTGACATCACAACCACAACTTGCTCGCAGTCTCGCACCTACATGCAGGGGTGAAGCCTCAAGCTAGAAAAGGGGGATATTCTGGCAACAAAACCAGGCCTGAGCTTTAGTTTAGAGAAAATAATCGCAATTTAAATCTTAGTTGTAATGTTATTCTAATTGCAATCAGATATGTTCCCTAAATCGTTCAGCTCTCTTAGGGCCCCCAAAAGGCTCGAGCCGGCCCTGAGTGTGAATGTGCTCCACTTCACTAAATAGGAGCTCCTGTTGTGCACGAGCAGGAACACAAACAGTAAACAGAGTAAACAGTGGAGCTGCGGCTGTCTGGGCGCTGAGGGCGTCACTGTGAGGGACGCGGAGCTGCTCGGCGCTCAGATCCAGCGGAGCTCCAGGATCTCAGCACATTTAAACCTCAGCCGGGTTTTGTCTCCGATCTCCGCCGCACAGATGCAACAAAGACCAGGCGGCGCGGCGCTCGTGCACACGGAGCCGAGGAGCGCGCGGTGCCCCGCGCCCAGGCCGCCCGGAGCCGCGCGCCGGGACAGAGCGGCGCTCTGGAGGAGCAGAACCCGCCCGGGTTTAAAATAGAACCCTTACCTGGTTCCTAGTCTCCTACACATTTACTGAAATCCTGAGTCCGGGATCCAATCCGCTCCAGAAACCGCGCAGGACCGGAAATAAAGGCGGGCGAGGTGGCGGATGGGAGTTGTAGTTCTTTATGCTTGTTGTGGCCGCGCTTTAGGACTACAAACAGAGCTAGACGGTTTCTCAACGTTTCTTTAGTAAAGCGGATGGTTCTCTATAAGAGTACCGGTTCTATATAGAACTATTTGCGTGCTTAAATGGTTCTTTGAATGGTGAAATGGTTCTTCAGATGGATGGAGAACGTGTTGTGGTTCTATGTCGCACCAAAAAGCGTTTTTCTATTTTTACAAGACATTGTAGCAACAGCAGAAACTTTTTTGGTGCTAAATAGAACCATTTTCAAAATAGTTTTATATACAATTCATGGTTCTAAACAGAACCATTGTCTTTACTAAAGATGCATTGAAGAACCATCTTTTTAAAGAGCGTGTATGGTTCTATATAGGCTCTTTTTAAAAATGGTTCTGTCTAGCACCATCCAGGGTTCTGTTACTGTTATAAGCATGACATCGTAACAATAGCAGAACCCTTTTGGTGCTATATAGAACCATACACGACACATTCTCTGTCAATCTGAAGAACCATCTGCAACCATGATGCAAAGAACAATTTAAGCATGAATTGGTTCTATGCAGAACTTTGAGTGTATATGCTTCTATATAGAACCTTTTTGAAAATGATTTATACAGCAACGCAAAAGGTTCTGACGTTGTGTACAAGCTTGACATCGTAAAAATAGAAGAACCCTTTTTGGTGCTATATAGAACTATGTTCAAACAGGTTCTATGTAGAACCTTATACAACACATTCTCCATCAATCTGAAGAACCATTTTACCATGCAGAACTCAGGGTTCTAAATAGAACTGTTCCCATTACTGAAGAACCCTTGAAGTAATGTCTTTTTGTGTAGCCTACAGTGAGAATCAGTGCAGCTGATGATGTCAGGATTTCAGAGTGAACAGCTTCTGGATTAAGTTATCCAGTTTAGTGAAATATCATGTTTTATTAGATAAACCCTGGATTTTTCAATTACCTTAGCTGGATATCTTAAGCCTGAAATGAGGAATGTCCATGATCTCCGCTCCAGTAGGAGTATATATCTTATATAAGAGGCTTGACTTTTGGATATCAGGTTAACTGGTTTAGAATATAATTGAATATCTTTAACTAAAAACTGAATTTATGAATGAATTGAATTTATTTTATGAATTTAACAAAGCAGGATTTTAGATTTGTCAATAAGCAGGATCACTCAGGTGTAAAGTGAGCGGTTTGTAGTAGGAATGTCCATTATGCCTTCCCGTGAGACAGGTTTGACCTTTGGCTTAGAGGGGAACTCCACCATTTTTTCAAAATTCTCTGCATAAATAAACAGTTAAGATGTAAACACAGCGGTTCAGAGTGGTTCAGAGAGGTTCAGAGTGGTTTGGTGTGAAACGCTCCGTTCTAGATAAACTTAGGGAATTGTTCACAGTGGTGGTGATAGGAACCAGACGTCCACCTCTAAAAGCTCCCTCACACCAAGTTCCTACATGAAATGGTTATGAATTCACTGCCTGATGACTGAGACACTGTTTTATGATAGTTTAGAGAACTTAAACTCCATTCATGGTGGAGGGATACATGCAGGGCGCTGTGAGGCAAAATAGTCCCCAAAGAAAATTATTATTATTATTTCAGATTTTCCACTATTTTCCATCATCAACATTCCATATAGACTCAGAAGACATCTGAACCATTTCACACCAAACCACTCTGAATCTCTATGTTTACAACTCACACTTTCAATTATGCAGAGAATTTAAAAAGTTGGTGGAATTCCCCTTTCGAAAAATAAAGCCTGTCCAGTTGGCAAAGGGGTCAGGAACATTCCTGTTGGACAAGCCTCACTTCTGGCCTTTGGTTATTGAACTTACTGAGAAGTCTTGCTTTGGCAAATATGCCAAAGGTATGTGTTGCGTTCAGTAACATATTTCATAATATATTTCCATTTATTTGAGACTTTTACTTTCACTGCACTACATTTCACAGTAAAAAATGCTACTTTTTACTCCAGTACTTTTCTGCAAGGTACTGTATGTTTAAAAAATTCATTTTCCATAAAATATACAAAGAATATGATGCACTTTCTCAAATAAATCAAACCAATCAGAGCACACCTTTCACTAAATCCCTCCCCATAATGCAATCGTATCTCAGCAACTGTAACTGATATGATAAAATACTGTAATATTTTGTGGGCATTTTAAATTCAGGAAATTGAAATTTTATAGATTAAAACTCAAAACACAAGGAGATTTTTTGAATTGTTATAATACCTTACAATACTTTTAATTTTCATACTCACAGATTTAAAATCAGGTACGTTTTACTAACTCAGGTAGAAATTTTAATAGAGTGCTTACAGTTTTTACTGGAGTAGTATTTTACCAGGATATCTCCACTTCCACTCAAATACTGGATTTTGTACATTATCTGCTGCTTTCTGCCTGCATTTCTAGCTCTCTCTTCAAAATAAAAGTCCCCAAACAGCAGCAATTAAATCCAAGCCAAGGCGGTCTGTTAATCAGTCAACATTTATTGCTCAAAATGATAAACCTGATATGTTAATTATATATATGATCCCTGCACAGCATTAGGCCGACATTCATTCAGCACAGGCCTCCTGGCTCCAGGTTCTCAACAAGTGCAGTGCAAACAAAACACCAGTAGTTCGCTGTGGATGTACACGCCGCACGCACACACACACACACACACACACACACACACGCACTCACACTGTGCATTTTCAGTGATTCTGCAGGTAAACTTAAGAGGCTCAGCAACAAAGTCATGGCTAACAACTCTCATCCACCTCCACGATTCATTCACAACTGCATCCGTTCAGTATTTAAGGGCCTTTTGGTTTTCTGCATACATAGATTAGGTTTGAAAAGACATCAGATCACAGTAAAATGTACTGAAGCAGTATCCATGGTTAATGCAGCGAGGTCAAACATCAGCATCAACCCAAAACATGCATTCTCGGCGTTAAAAATGTCCAACGTTGAATTTCGGCTATATACGTAGGCATATATATGTGTGTATATATGTTTATACATAAATCCCAAACTGATCAGATTTAAATTAGTGGCGAATCTCATGAAAACAAGTCATAAAAAAAGTGCTGAGTCATCATTCCCGTTGCTTGTCTTCCTCTTCCTGCTGGTTACTGCAGACTTTATAGCCACACGTTACAGCAGCGCTCAGTCTCTACAGCGTTTAGATGGACACACAGGAAAATCAGCCTCCACAGCAGCGCCGGAAGGTGAAAAAGTCAGGGAAATATCGCCGTGCCAACCCTGACCACATCCTTCAGGCTTGTTGGTCTGATGCGCTCAAAAGTTTGTATCCATGGCTGATAATTTAAGTAAGTCCGCTGATCTAGGAACAGTTCTAAAGCAGGGAGTCCCAGAAGGCCTGAGTCCAGCACAGTCCGATTTACCTGCTCAAACGCACCTGATACGTGGATTAAACATTACATTTGAATTCTGACAGACTGTAATACACTACAGGAAGTGTAGGGGGCGATATGGCGTCTACTGTTTCATTTAAAAAGCCTCTATAATGTTCATATGATCCACACAGTCACTCTGACAGACTGTAATACACTACAGGAAGTGTAGGGGGCGATATGGCTTCTACTGTTTCATTTAAAAAGCCTCTATAATGTTGATATGATCCACACAGTCACTCTGACAGACTGTAATACACTACAGGAAGTGTAGGGGGCGATATGGCTTCTACTGTTTCATTTAAAAAGCCTCTATAATGTTGATATGATCCACACAGTCACTCTGACAGACTGTAATACACTACAGGAAGTGTAGGGGGCGATATTTGCATGTTTAAATGGTTCTTTTTATGATGAAATGGTTCTTCAGATTGATGAACATTGTGTTGTATATGGTTATACTTGACACTGTCACAATAGCACGATTTTTGGTGCTATATAGAACCATTTTTGACACAGTTCTACATAGGACCATGTACAACACACTCTCCATCAATCTCAAGAACAATTGCACCATGCAAAAACCATTTAAGCAAGCAAATGGCTTTACATAGAACGCATGGTTCTAACCACTACCTTTACTGAAAAGGTAAGTGTGTATCTAATGCCTGGAATCTGAGCTGCGTCAAAGTCCTTATAGGAAAGTCTGGTCACTCGGCGGCCGCCTTGGCGACACCGCTGGGCAGTTATTTCCAGCCATACAAGACCAGACTCCTCTCTCTATGAATGAGAGACCAAAATACTGGAAACTGAAGGTTAAATTACTGTTTCAAAAACATATTTGATCAAATACTGATATAATCTGACAAAAACCTTATGAACAGTTTGTAGCTTTTGGCTCAATAATGCACAAAAACGTGTTTTTCGGGTTGTTCTGGCTACAGATCACAACGAGGGGGAACTTTTTATGGCGGTATCCATGATTATTTTATAAAAGTATGCCTATTTATCTAATTTTTACCCCCAAATATGCCTTGCCCAGATGTTCCCCCCAGTAGCTAAGTAGCATTTTTATAGCAGCACTATGACTATAAAAATGGGCACGGGGAACCACAGGAACCGAAGAAGGCAGAACAGTTAGCCTGATCTAATCATAGTCGATACTTTAACTGATTATAGAAATAAACGTTAAGTCATGCTACACCTGTGGGGATATTCCACAAAGCAGGATTAGCCGATTAACTTAAGACAAAAGTTGAGGTTCCTCCAAATAGAAGCTCTTTTAGCTCTTCTCATATTAGACAGGCTTGACTTTGGGCTCAGACTGTCTGGCTAAATGAGAAAAGTCCCTCTTTCTAAAACACCCCCCCCAAATCATGACCTGCTGAGCTGAACCAGGTGTGCCAGAGCAGGTAGATCAGTCAGACTGTGCTGGACTCCAGCTCTGCTCTGAGCTGTTGAAGGACAAAGATCTGGAACAGCTGCTGACTCGCCTGCTTCAGTGTACAGGTTTTATGACAAAACAAAAACAAACAAACAAACAAACCACTCAGAACTGCAGTCTGTGATGCTCAGACCTTCTCGTTAAAGCTCTCAAAGAAAAATAAAGAAACGTCTAAGTTAAAGAGACGCCTAGCTTACGGAGCGGAGTTCACTCCAAATGCCCTAGAGTAGTGTTTTACATCCTTTGGTTAAAAATCACACTCACAACCCTGCATGGATTATTAGTGTGGGTTTCTGGAATGACAGAAAATAAAAAAAAGGAATGATAATCATCAGAATTCTGTACATACACTCTAATATTGATTAAAGAACTGTTCAAACCAAACAATATTGAGAAATTTAAAGTGTAAATAACCGAAAAAAAGAGCTAATTTTAGGAATAATCCTGCTAGCCTGGGATATTTTACCATTTCGCTTATGAAATACCTCACGTCCTGCTGTTCCCTCATTTTCGCCCTCCGTCTTATGAGGCCCCAGATAGTGAGCCTATATCGGTCCGCTGGCTTGATAAGGTCGGCACCCCACTGAGTGTTTGCCACTGGTGATCCCCCCTCGGACCACCCAGATTACTGTCCTGCATACAAGCTCTAACTAGTTTTTAATCTCCTCAAACTGATTTTAAATGCACAGAGACTTTTATTTTGGAAAATAAACTTAGATAAATGTTACAAACAACTGAGAGATAAAAAATAATGACTAGGCCTGATATAAAATGATTTTATAGAAGATGTTGTTGCTGACGCTGAGCTGGATTAAAATTATTTACTGAACTAATTTACAAAGTGAAAAGAAATGAAGGAAGGAAAAATCAGTAAATTGGACTGTAAATGGAAAATGAGCGACGATAAGTGGAATTTTGTCTAATACTCTGCTTAAACACCCCAGAAAACACTGAGCAAAACACCAGTGGACCACCAGCTTTGCCATCAGTGGGCCGACAGTGGACCACTATCCTCTTGCTATCAGGGGCAGGCTGGAGATCTATGAGACGCCCCTGGTTAACCTGCACTAAATCACTGTAAAGTCCCGGGGCTGCACAGACCCAGGCGCGCGATCAGCCTTGCGAAGCGTTCAGTAAACTGCAGGTGCCGCTGTAGAAGCTAATAACTCGCTCAGGGTTTATGTTGTGGCCAAACTCGACTCCACGAGGCCACTAAACATTAAGCTTAACCAAGATTGTGTCACTTTTACATACAGTTAAAAAATGTTATTAAGAAATAAAGAATATTTCTGCATTCTGACAAAAAGGTTGCAATATTTTCACTAAAATAACACAACTGACTCCCTGTGGCAGAGCTGGAACACGTCACCACGTGATGTCGGAACACTCTTCACCAAAGCTGCCACAACCACCTTCACCAAACCCAGAATGGCCAAAGTTTGGATGTGTTTTCCCTCAGCATGTGCTCATCAAACTAAAGCCACTTCCTGTCTAGACCTCAGCGCTAATGCTAACGACAGCCATCTCCATCCCCAGCGGTTAAAAGGCCACAGATGATGTTGACGTTTGCAGCAATGTCAGTTTTGCACATCATCAGATATAAAAGACCCACCAGAAGCTTAGCGGTAGCACGTGGACTAGCATGTAGATTAGCACGTGGACTAGCATGTAGATTAGCACGTAGGCTAGCACGTAGATTAGCATGTGGGCTAGCATGTAGATTAGCACATGGGCTAGCACGTAGACTAGCATGTGGATTAGCACGTAGGCTAGCACGTAGATTAGCATGTGGGCTAGCATGTAGATTAGCACATGGGCTAGCACGTAGACTAGCATGTGGACTTGTATGTGGGCTAGCATGTGAACTAGCATGTGGGCTAGCATATAGTCTAGCATGTGGACTTGTATGTGGGCTAGCATGTGGACTAGCATGATGGCTAGCATATAGTCTAGCATGTGGACTTGTATGTGGGCTAGCATGTGGACTAGCATGATGGCTAGCATATAGTCTAGCATGTGGACTTGTATGTGGGCTAGCATGTGGACTAGCATGTGGACTTGTATGTGGGCTAGCATGTGGACTAGCATGTTGGCTAGCATATAGTCTAGCATGTGGACTAGCATGTTGGCTAGCATATAGTCTAGCATGTGGACTTGTATGTTGGCTAGCATGTAGACTGGCATGTACACTAGGTTGTGGACTAGCAAATGGACTGGAATATGAACTGACATATGGACTAGCATGTAGATTAGCTTCTGAACTAGCACATGTACTAGCAGGCGGACTGGCATGTAGGTTAGCATGTGGGCTAGCATTCGCATATATCTAGAGCCTGTTCTCTCTTGTTCTGTGATCATTTGGAGCGAGAGCGCATGACATGAAAATGGAACATAGAATGGAATGAAATAACTATGAGCACAGCAGGTGGATTAGCATGTAGGCTACAAATCTGCAGATTAATATTTGCATATTATTTTCTTCACTCAGAGTAGCATACGCTATCAGATCTTAGCGTGCAGCGCTAATGTATCGGCTGAATAACTGAAATGCACCCAGTTTACGATGCGGCTATCAGCAGCTAACAGTGCTTTTCACACTCCCAATCCAGAGTTTCCCGCTAGTAATTCCAGCTTTGCAGCAGCGTTTATGTGAGCTCACCTCATAAATATATTTCTGACACGAAGGCAGCATTTTAGCATATTTCTCTCTTTCTTGCCCTTAAACACTCTTTTTGAAGCGAGTACAGGCGATATGATTAAGAAGACTAGCTAACTACACTTGATAAAAAGACGCCTCTTCAAGGGTTCTTTAATAAAGCCAACACTTCTATATAGGCGATTTCACCATGCAAAGAACCATTTAAGCATGCTAAATAGAACCATGAATGCTCAAACAACCACTTCCATGCTTAAAGGGTTCTCTGCATGGTGAAATGGTTCTTTTTAGCAGTAAAAAGCGTTCTTCTATTGTCATCATAACAGTAGCAGAACCTTTTTTGGTGCTATATAGAATCATATACAACACATTCTCCATCAGTCTGAAGAACCACTTCACCATGCAGAGAACCATTTAAGCATGCAGATGGTTCTGTGAGTGTTCCTGGTTCTGTATGGAAGCACTGTCTTTATTAGAACCCTTAAGCATCTTTTTAAGAATGTAGCAAAAACTCTGTCGAAGTATGAAAGTGGTGAAATATTGTTTACAGGTTTTTGGAAATGAGCTTGTTGGATGTTAGTAGCGACTCTGGTCATCGTCTCACAGGAGATTAATGTTTTAACACGGCTCCTGACGAAATAAGCGTAATTAACTAAACCTTGGGGGCGGAAACCTTTTGAGCAGGTGAGACTCGTGAGAATGAGAGGGTATTTTAAACGTCTGTGAGGGAGGAGGCGACTCTGGGGAGGTTTTAGAGGTGAAATGCGGCTGGATAGAGGTAGAGAGGGAGCGAGGATGAGGATGAGGAGGGCATCACTCTCAAAATGACGTGTTAATTAACGACACATTCTTTATGTGTTATAATCTTTTAACACTTCGTGCGTCAGGTGTGATCAGGGACCTCTCCGTGTTAAAACTCTGCAGAGCAGCACTCCGTGCTGTACTGAACGCATCTGCTTCGAGAGAGCGGCGGCAGCACACAGCTCATACTATCTGCGCTCTCCGATCGGTCCGATCGGGTCACGAAGGCGGCTCCCTCACCGTCCCGTTGGCTTTGCTCTTGCTCTTGGGCAGAAGTTTGCGGTTGATGATTTTCCGGAACGTGGCCGTCCTCTTCTCCCTCTCGGACACGGCCGAGACGTCCGGCGGCTGCTCCAGGTACTGCAGGTCGTTGTGGGACTGGCTCATGCCCGGCTCCTTCCTCTGGTGCCTCCGTCTGAAGAACAGCTTGGCGCTCTTGTGCAGGAAGCTGCCTACAGGGGGCGCCGAAAACACAGAGGAGAAATTAGCACAAAGCAGCTGGTCGTGGAGGTCAGAATAGATGCCCTTTAATGCAGGCCTATTATTACACTCTAAAAAAGATGGATCTTCAAGGGTTCTTTAGTTCTATATAGAACCGTGAATGCTAAAAACCGTTTGCATGCTTAAATGGATCTTTGCATAGTGAAACAATTCTTCAGACTGATGGAGAATGTGTTGCATATGGTTCTGTACTGCACCAAAAAGGGCTTTTTGGTGCTATACAGAACAATTTTCAAAAAGGTTCTACATAGAACCAAATACAACACATTCTCCAACAATCTAAAGAACAATTCTACCACGTAAAGAACCATTTTAGCATGCAGATGGCTCTTTAAGCACTCATAATTCTGTATAGCATGCTTAAATGGTTCTTGGCATGGTGAAATCGCTCTTCAGATTGATGAAAAATATGTTGTCTATGGTATATATAGAACCTTTTTTCAAAATGGTTCTATGTAGTACCAAACAAGGGTTGTGCTACTGTTACGATGTCACACTTGTAACAATAGAAGAACGCTTTTTGGTGCTATTGAGAGCCAACACATTCTCCATCAATCTGAAAAACCATTTCACCATGCAAAGAACCATTTAAGCATGCAAATGGCTTTTTGAGTGCTGCTGGTTCTATATAGAAGTGCTGTCTTTACTAAAGAACCCTTGCAGAACCATCTTTTTTAAGAGTGTAGTTTTGCCATCTAAGGCCAAGATTAAAGTGATGGTTTGGTGAAAAATCAAATTTACAGTTTTCCACACTTTTGCAAGAATGTAGATGAACAGTTTTAGCACTGGAGCTATAAGGCTAATGTAGCCGATTAGCATTGTGCTAACTGCATGTCTGAATCCTCACAGTCGCCTCAACCTGTGTGGAGGTGTTCAGTATCTCTAATAGACGTGATTATGTGGTTTCTGTCTCAATGTGATCTATAAACTGTACAGTTTTTAGCTATATGACGTACCTTTGTCCCTTTTTATACATAACAGAACGTTGTACTATGGGGCGCAATGGGGAATGGGGAGCGGTGGTGGGCTGGAGGTTAGGGAACAACCCCTATGACCAGAAGGTTGCTGGTTCGATCCCTTCGGCTGACAGTCCATGACTGAAGTGCCCTTGAGCAAGACACCTAACCCCCAATTGCTCCCCGGGCACTGTGGATAGGTCGGCCCACCGCTCTGTGTGCTCACTGCCCCCTAGTGTGTGTGTTCACTGGTGTGCATGAATGTGGGTGTTTCACTGCATGGATGGGTTAAATGTGGAGGTCTAATTCCACAGTGTGCAAAACACAGTTGGCTAATGGTTCTGAATTCAATTCAACTAAGCTGATTTGGGGTTGGGGAAAAGTGAAACTTCTCCAGTCTATTCCTTTGAGACAGACCTGCCTTAAAAGGGTACATTCTGACCTCCAGAATGGCAGAGTTAAATGAGAGGTTCGGTTTCCTCTTCTGGATGTAGCTGATCAGTGGAGACGTGTTTGGTATCCAGATTTTACTTCTTTAGTTCAGCAGTGGAGCTACAAAGCTAATGTAGCCAACAAGCACTACGAGTCAATAGTCACCCAAATCTTTTCTGTAAATGCAACCCCAAATCCCATTAATCTCATTGATACGAGTGGATCAGACACAGCAGTGCTGCTGCACTGTGTCCACTCACTGTCCACTCTATTAGACACTCCTACCTTGTCAGTCCACCTTGTAGATGTAAAGTCAGAGACGATAGCTCATCTGCTGCCGCACAGTTTGTGCTGGTCATCCTCTAGTCCTTCATCAGTGGTCACAGGACACTGTTGGCTGGATATTTTTGGTTGGTGGACTATTCTCAGTCCAGCAGTGACACTGAGGTGTTTAAAAACTCCAGCAGCACTGCTGTGTCTGATCCACTCAGACCAGCGCAACACACACTAACACACCACCACCACGTCAGTGTTACTGCAGTGCTGAGAAATGATCCACCACCCAAATAGTACCTGCTCTGTGAGGGTCCATGGGGGTCCTGACCACTGAAGAACAGGGTAAAAGGGGGCTAACAAAGTATCAGAGAAACAGATGGACTACAGTCTGTAACTGTAGAACTACAAAGTGCACCTATAGAGTAAGTGGAGCTGATAAAATGGACAATGAGCGTAGAAACAAGGAGGTGGTCAGAATGTTATGGCTGATCTGTGTGTATCTGCTGTCTAAAGTGTCCGTTTAGAGTTCTGCTCATGTTTATAGCTCACAGTGAGTCATACTGGGTCCTAAACCACATCAACAAGTCTGCACCACCTTAATGAAGACTTGGATGCAGTTTCGGAGAAGTTTTTGGGATGTAATTACAGAAAAGATTTGGGTGACTATTGACCTCTAGTGTTTGTTAGCAGCCTTGGCCTCATAGCTCCAGCATTAAACTAAAGAAGATAAATCTGGACACCGGCTGACTGACCACATCTGGGGTAAGAGGGAAAACTGTGTACACATGCCTTTTCTGCTGAACTATTCCTTTAATGTCACTGTCCTTCTGAGTTTAACCAGGGCATCTCTTCTTTAACCAGAAGAGAGGCCACGTTATGGTATTAAAAGTGTTGTTTACTAGCAGATCTGAATGATTTAGATGATTAAATGTAAACAGAATCAGGTGTATATTTATACAGATGCTACATATTTCCTATGCAAGTGATAAAAAAGAAGGGAATATGGAGGATAAAAGCATTCCGAACCAGTCCATACTGTTCCACACAACCAGGATATCGATCTGGCCAAAAGGATGTGTGTATATGTGCACACATACATACACACAATATCCAGCACATTACATTACAAAGGCAGCACAAATTTAATAAAGTATATAAATCATATGAGCGTATTAAAGCCTCTTATTCAGCTGTTTCCAAAATTAATGCCTAACAAGAGCTTAAAGGGGAACTCCTCTAATTTGGCAAAATTACTTAATCCTTCAGTGGTTTAGATGTAAACAAAGTGTGGTTTGGTGTGAAATTCGCCTTTCTAGAGAAACTTACAGAGTCAAAATTGCTCACCATTGTAGTAGTAGGAACCAGACGTCCGTATGGCTACACTACAAATATCACCATTTTATCTACTATTAAAAAATGACCAGTGAACTACGTGTCTTATAAGGTTGATAATGATAAAATAGTGCTAAATTTGAAAAAATACATTTTTTGGATACTATTTTTTCCTTACCATACCCTGCATGTGTCTCTCTGCCCTGCACGTTTGTGTTGTTTGGGTTGTCGGCGCTGCGTCGCACTGTGTCAGCAAAACTCAGAGCTTATGTGAGTAACGTTATTCATCAGAGGAGCTGCGATAGACCACAGTTCACCTCGCTGTCCTGCCCCGTAAACTGGTGACCAGAGTAGCAAGTAGTTTGTTGTTGACACCGTCCATTTCCATTCGCCCTGGGTTCTTCTGCTTCGGTCGGTGTTGTATCCGAATCAGCTCCCCCTCAAATTCACGTTCCCTTTGACAAGGGACCTCACGCATTCACTGAACAACGGCAAGCAACCGTGGAACTACAGACAGCGAAAAGGTTCAAAAAAGACTGACCGGCCGCGTGTTTTCACCCAAACCCCAATATAAATTCACCTCAGATAACACAGTATAACTGAGATTCTGTGATAAATAGTATTTTCAATTCGAGTAAACAGTAAACAATCGTACTGATAAATACTTTTTATACCGTTCATCACCGATTGGGTGAAAACAGCTTCCGCACAAACCTAAATTGAACCTTTTCGCTCTCCGTAGTTCCAGCGACGCTTGGCATTGTTATCTGTTCAGTGAATGCGCCGCCCGAGGAGCTGATTAGTCAAAGAGAACGTGAATATGAGGGGGAACTGAATCGGACACAACACCCGGCGTTAGCTGTGTTGAGCAGCTGTAGTTACATGCTAGTAGCAACAAAAGCATGTTAGCTTTAGCGCATTGATGAGACGCGGTTTTGACAGGAAACACTGAACTAATCCTGGAGTTATATATTTTACTAAAAACACGTTTTCAGCCAAAACTTTATAACAAAACCATCACAAAACAACGTCTCAGGTATCAAACCATGCATTCATTCCCACTCTGTGTAATAACTTACCGGGACGTAGCTTTTAGACCCATTAAATGCTTCAGACGTCTGGTTCCGAGTACTATAATGGTGAACAATTCTGACTTGATAAGTAATTTTGCAAAATCGGTGGAGTTCCCCTTTAAAAATAATCACAGGTTAGGCTGATTATTCTAAATTAAATTAATGTTTTGAAACCATACAGTCTTTAAAGGGCCCATATCATAACAAAATTTGGCAAAGCTTCAATGCACACTTCTATATATGGAAACTAACATTTGTGACACCACAAAACAAGCACATTTACATATATCCACCTATTCAGCCTACAGCAGTTTAGCCCCGCCCACTCAAGCTGTAGTTATAGGGAGTGTTCCACCCCAGATGAGGCACAATACAGGACAGCCAATCAGAACATAGCTCATTTACATATATCAGTCTTAAAGGGGTAGTTTGTTTAATTGTAAGGGATAAAGAGAGGTCATGTAGAAATGAATTATGACTGTTTTTGGTACAAAAAGCAACACCAGTGTCATACGTGGACCACAGGTGAGATAAAATAATAAGGAAAAACAGGAAAAATGTAAGATATGGGCTCTTTAATCATCTCATTAGACTGATGGTACAACAGTAAAGGACTGGCTTAGATTGGCACTAAACTACGAAAGCTGTTCTGAAGGGAAGTCTATGGGACTACATTACCACACACTTACTCGGCCAGCAAAACTGTCTGCTTATCACTGCTCTCCTCTTTTAGATGGCAAAGAAAGAGATGACGGGAGAGAGAGAGAGACAGAGGGGGGTACAGAGGAGAAAAGAAAGAAGCGAGTGATCAAAGGATGACCAGTACAAAGAGAAAGACACCACAGAGCTTTTAGCAGCACATTCAGAGTGAGATACACAGAGGAACACGGCGGGTAGAGGAACACGGCGAGGATCAGAACAGCCGTCTGTGATAAGAGGATCTCTAACAAACTGACTGTGATAAACTTCACTGCATATTCTGGAATGACTGATTTGTTTCTGTTTTTCATGTAGATGGTAACTTACCTGTGTTAATCTTCCTGTAAATCATTGTTACGGCTCAGCGCGCTACAGTGTGATCATGTGCGGCTCAGTGGAGACAGTACTGCACAGTAACGCCACTACAATATACAGGTTTACAACAGGAGTTCAATCGTTCTGAAGAAACAGGAACAGCTGAGCGACTCTGCTGTACCTCTCTGCACTGCTGCTCTGTCTGTTCAGTGTTGCACTGCGTATTGTTTTTCTATGAATATGGGTTTAACTGGATTGACCTTAAGTGGATTTAACTGAGCTGAATTCAACTGAATTGTGCAGAACTGAACGGAGCTGAACTGAAAGGAGATTAATTAATGTGAGCTGACATAAGCTGACCTGAACTGAGTTGAACTGAATTGATTTGAGCTGAATTTAAATGAAATGAATTGAGCTGACCTGAACTAAACTGAACTGTATTTGAACCAATTTGAGTTGTGCTGAACTGAGTTGAACTGAATTGATGTGAATTGACCCGAGCAGAACTAAACTGAATTGACGTGAACTGAACTGAGCAGAACTGAATTAAAGTGAACTGAACTGAGCAGAACTGAACTGAATTGAAGTGAACTGAATTAAAGTGAACTAAATTGATTTGAGTTAAAGTGAACTGAATTTAGTTGAATTGAAACTGAGCTGAACTAAACTGAATTGATGTGAATTGAACTGAGCGAACTTAATTGAACTGATGTGACCTGAACTCAACTGAATTAAGGTGAACTGAACTGAATTAAGCTGAACTGAACTGAGCAGATGTGAACTTAACTGAGCAGAACTGAACTGATTCAAACTGATTTGAACTGATGTAAACTGAACTGAAATGAATTAAGGTGAACTGAACTGGACTGAGCTGAACTGAATTGAAAAGATGTGAACTTAAATGAACTGAGCTGAACTGAAATGAATCGAGATGAACTGAACTGTACTGAGCTGAACTGAATTGAATTAAACTGAACTGAATCCAACTAAAAGCTGAAGCTCTTACCTTTCCCCTTTTTGGAGCCGGTCTCAGACATGCAGAGGGACAGAGATGTTTTATCAGCGTCTGGATCTTCTCCTGCCTGGCTCTCCCAGTCCTCCTGCCCTGCTCTGCTGGGACCCTCCAGGGGGTCCGAGACATCCGAAGCGGTGGGGTCAGCTGCCGGCTCAGACAACGTCATTTCCTCACCATTTCTCATGATGTCAGACTCTCCAGACATGGAAGCGTCCATTGCAGCAGCATAACCAGCCATCAGAGCCATTTCCTCATCCTGGGACAGAGGAGCCTTCAGAGAGAGAGAGAGAGAGAGAGAGAGAGAGACAGACAGAGAGAGGGAGAGAGGGAGAGGGAGAGAGAGAGAGAGAGAGAGAGAGAGAGAGAGAGAGAGAGAGAGAAGAGAGAGAGAGAGAGAGAGAGAGAGAGAACACAGAAACAGCAGTGTTAGAGTGACAGTTAAGCCAAAAATCAAATGTAATGTAATTAATCAAGACGTGTTTGGTGTTCGAAGTTTGCTTTGTATGTTTTGTACTGGAGCTACAAGGCTAATGTAGCTAACAAGCCATGTAAGTCTAAGGCTTTGTTCACACAGCAGGTAAAAGTGGCCCAAATCCGATCTTTCTCTTCATATGTGACACAGATGTGTGTCTGTATGTCAGTGTGAACAGATAAACACACTGAATCTGACATTCCGATCTGAGATGCTTTCATATCTGGTACTGAAATCCGATCCGTATCTGATCTGCGGCAATGCGACTGTCTGAACAGCCAGATCGGAATTCATGCGACTTTTACGTCAGTCCAACTCGACATTCATCATAGTTTCGCACTGCTGAGACTCATTAGGCTGATGTTTCTGTACCAAAATTATTACAAGAGACACATCGCAACCACTCCGGAGATTTCGGACGAAATGGCCGATCGTGGCCGGAGGAGACCGAGGCTGCAGCGTCAAAAAAAGTTTAAAGAATCCGAGGACACAAACCAAAGAAGTGGCCGTGGCAGAATAACATGCCCTTTTTACGGCAAACTCGAACACACTGTGGGTGATGAGTCCAGCTGGCAGTCATTGGAACTTCGCTCCTGTGATGCTGGTGAAGATGAAGCTGATCCTCCGGGAGCGACTGGTGTTCACTGGCCATCATGATTGTTTACCTCTGGATGAGCCGTGAAGCAGCGTGATGCTCTGATCTTCTGCGCATGTGGGTCAGTTTAGGAGCTGATCTGTTCAGACTGATGTCGCATACAGATCACATTTAAAGACAGTGTCAACAGCCAAACAAAAAAAATCAGATTTGGTGAGAAAATCAGATTTTGGCCAGTTTACCTGCTGTGTGAACGTAGCCTATGGGGAGGGTAAGTGCAGAAATGCGCCCTCTCCTGGTTCTGTTGAAAAATATTCTGAATCACCTTCTTCTAGTGTACGGTTAGCATAAATGAGTGAACGTAAACAGCAGCTGACTGTAGAGAGCTGTCCTGTGACTCAAGTCGGACTCCAGTCATGTGAGTCCACTCCTCCTCAATGCTACCTTAACAAACACAGACCCTATAAAAGTGTTATACTGAGTCGGTCACCTGCGGAGGGCTGTTACTGCTGTGTCACTGTACCTTTGTCACTCCAGAGATGATGATGGTGCTCTTCTTGACCGGAGATTTGTGTTTCTGTTTAGCTGACTCGTAGAGCTGCCTGATGGCGGCTTCGGCCACAGGATCCGTCCCATTCAGCATCAGCAGCTCTAAACAAAGCAGAGCGATTAGCTGATATTATAGTATTTAAAATCAAACTTTCTGTCATTTTTACACGTTCTGAGATAAACACTTACAGAAGGACAGTGTTGGCAGATTTTAGTCGTAAAGAACATAAGTAAACACTTCTTTGGGCCTCCACACTTAAGAAACTCCTTTTGCACAGAATATGAGAGTTTTTACCCAATTTGTGCTTAATATAAGATGAAGTTATTCATACTTCTCGTTTTATAGAGGGTAACATCTTAACTGAAGCAGGGACGCGCATAGGAAAATACTAAAATCACTGAGTAACACCGGTAAAACTTACATTATCCTCCTCCTCATATAAAAATAATCCCATCCAAATAGGGCTAAAATGTACTGAAAGGGGAGATAATATAACTTGGGTTATGTGGTGAGTAACGTTCACCCTGGCCTACAAGTGTAACATCTGCAACAACCAACATATGACCAGAAGTTTAGTCATTTATCCAGCAAACAGAGTCAGAATTTGGTTTTACTTCTTATGAGACCCACAAAACCCACCTGCTGATGACTAAAGCTAAACACTACCTAAATATATATTGTAATGGATTAACTGAGGCTACTAGACCTTCTTGCTGTTCTCATCAGCGCACAACTGTAAAAATCACTCATATGAATACAGATCAGGGGGCGAAATGACACAAGTACAGCAGATGGTGATGTAATACCTGTGTCTGATGATGATAAAGCTTTGCTGACTTTGGCTCCCAGCTTCGAGGGCTGCTCTGACACTCTCCTCTCCGACAGCTTGGATTTGGATGGAGTTTCTAAAACATAGAAATAATATCAACCATGTAATTCATAAAATATCAGACATATTACAAACCTTCTGGGAATGAGGTTGGCTTCACTGCAGCGGAGTTTATTTGCACACAGTCATATTGTTACACAACAAACTAGAAAGGTGCTGCACAGCTTTAGCAGTTCTTAACGGTTGCTAGGGTGTTGCCAAACGGTAACTATGCTCTTTTAGGTGGTTGCAAAAGTTTCTGAGAAGTGGTTGTTATGGTATCCCAGGTGGTTGCTAGGGTATTCCAGGTGGTTGCTAGGGTCTTGCTAGGTGGTTTCTATGGTATTCCAGCTGGTTGCTAGGGTGTTGCTAGGTGGTTTCTATGGTATCCCAGGTGGTTGCTGGGGTGTTGCTAGGTGGTTTCTATGGTATTCCAGGTGGTTGCTAGGGTGTTGCTAGGTGGTTGCTATGGTATCCCAGGTGGTTGCTAGGGTGTTTCTAGGCAGTTTCTATGGTATCCCAAGTGGTTGCTAGGGTGTTGCCACTATGCTCTTTTAGGTGGTCGCAAAAGTTGCTGAGAAGTGGTTGTTGTGGTATCCCAGGTGGTTGCTAGGGTATTCCAGCTGGTTGCTTGGGTATTCCAGGTGGTTGCTAGGGTGTTGCGAGGCAGTTTATATGGCATCCCACATGGTTGCTAGGGTGTTGCTAGGTGGTTGCTATGGTATCCCAGGCGGTTGCTAGGGTGTTTCTAGGTGGTTTCTATGGCATCCTATGTGGTTGCTAGTGTGTTGCTAGGTAGTTGCTATGGTTCCTCACATGGTTAATAGGGTGTTGCTAATGGACTTGTATCAACATGACATTGAGTGCACAAACTTTTGCATCCCAATTTTAAATCACTAGTTAAGTTTTTAAGTTCTTAACTTCTATTTCAGCCGTGGATGTGTTGTGCTGAGCTGTGAAGTGACCGGTACCTGGGGGCAGTGGCCGTCCTGGTCTGCTCTTCACTGCAGTGATGGTGGTTACCACGGTACCGCAGGGCATCACCGTCCGGTCCATTTCCACCCGCTTAGAAGGGGCCGGTGTGGGGGGTTGCCAGGTGCGCACCTCACTGGGTTCCAGGTATGTAAACTAGACACAGGGGAAGAGAGGTGATGCGTGGTTAACAGTCCACACAATATATATATATATATATTTTTTTATCTCAGTCTCGTCCTCATTAATTGCTTTTGTCATTCATAGCAACAATCTAATCTAACACCACATTTAAATGTCTTTATATAGATTTATGAGGCCTTTTCACACACAGTCATTAAGCAGGGTCTGCTTTTTGAATGAGGCTGAAAGCAGGACAGCCCATTAGAACTGAGTTCATTTACATACACCGATCAGGTATAACATTATGACCACCTCCTTGTTTCTACGCTCATTGTCCATTTTATCAGCTCCACTTACTATATAGGTGCACTTTGTAGTTCTACAGTTACAGACTGTAGTCCATCTGTTTCTCTGATACTTTGTTAGCCCCCTTTTACCCTGTTCTTCAGTGGTCAGGACCCCCATGGACCCTCACAGAGCAGGTACTATTTGGGTCGTGGATCATTCTCAGTACTGCAGTAACACTGACATGGTGGTGGTGTGTTAGTGTGTGTTGCGCTGGTGTGAGTGGATCAGACACAGCAGTGCTGCTGGAGTTTTAAACACTGTGTCCACTCACTGTCCACTCTACTAGACACTCCTACCTTGTCAGTCCACCTTGTAGATGTAAAGTCAGAGACGATAGCTCATCTGCTGCTGCACAGTTTGTGTTGGTCATCCTCTAGTCCTTCATCAGTGGTCACAGGACGCTGCCCACAGGACACTGTTGGCTGGATATTTTTGGTTTTGGACTATTCTCAGTCCAGCAGTGACATTGAGGTGTTTAAAAACTCCAGCAGCACTGCTGTGTCTGATCCACTCACACCAGCGCAACACACACTAACACACCACCACCATGTCAGTGTTACTGCAGTACTGAGAATGATCCACGACCCAAATAGTACCTGCTCTGTGAGGGTCCATGGGGGTCCTGACCACTGAAGAACAGAGTAAAAGGGGGCTAACAAAGTATCAGAGAAACAGATGGACTACAGTCTGTAACTGTAGAACTACAAAGTGCACCTATATAGTAAGTGGAGCTGATAAAATGGACAATGAGCGTAGAAACAAGGAGGTGGTCTTAAAGGCACAGTAACAAAAGCATGTTTAATATGTTTGTATTATACTCTGAGATAAAGAGAGGTTGGAAAATGACAATGTAGAAATAAATTATGACTGTTTTTAGTACGAACACCCACACAAATGTCATAAACGGAGCTCAGGGAAAAAATAAAATACGAGAAAAAAGTAAGAAATGGGCCCTTTAAAGCAACACTATGTATCTTTCGGGGATTTGGAGCCCTCTCTGGTGGAAAAGTGTAATTGCAGGCAGAACAGTTAGATGAATCTGCTGACTGAAAGAGAATTCAAAGAGAATTCAGAGTAAACTTGGTGAAGGAGCGTCTTCTGAGGATGAGAGTGAATTATCTGCTATTATCATCACATCTTCATCAGTATGATTTTGATTTTGAGATCATTTTAGATGTAAACATCGAGTCTGACCTTCTTTTAGAGCCTGTGTGTGACGTTAATATGTGAAGACGTACGACGATATAGATCGCAGCCTGTGGTTACTTATATACTGGTTAGAGTAATTTTCTTTTGTACTCTACCTCAGAAGTCAGAGAGCCGGTCACTCGGTCAGCGTCCATCAGAGCGAACGTCTGCTGACCACGAGGATGCCGCTTCACCAGATCAAACGGAACGCAAACCTGGCCCAGCAAACAGCCTACAGAGAACACAGAGAGGAGGACAGGAGTTTGAGCAAAAAAATTACATTAACCCTCTATTGCACAATGTTGCCTCAGGGCAACAAACCCATTGTCCTCACTTTACAAAAATCCATATTTAAAGACAACTATTATGTCAACAAAAAGCATGTTCCTGGTCATACTCTCTTTTAGTGCACACTTTTAAATCTCTTTTTTAACATTCAGTCTCTTTTTTTTTTTTGATTATGAGATTTTGCAGGAATATGTTTGTTGCCTAGAAGCAACACTGAGTAACAGTGGAATGGATTTAGCCACTCACAAGTCTGGTCTCACCACTTCAGGGAACACAGCTCTATATCATTTCTTCTTATTGTCGCACAATGTTGCCTCAGGGCAACATAGATCAAAATAATGCACACATTATTTAAAAAAATGTTTTGATATTTAATAATCAGGTCCATTTTCTGCAAGAAAACTGAATCGAATATATTTTTTTTAATTGCTGTCCTAACACGTGCAGTAGAGGGTTAACATAATATTCATGCTAAGTGATCTAATCTAAAATCACTGACTTTAAGCTCTTATTCAGAATATTCAAAACAGAAACATGGAGAAGCTTCTTGCTGACAGCAATAATGTTTTAGTTCAGCTACGAGTCCCGCTAGTTACATTAAATCATTTCGCTAAATTTGTTTGCACCACCCCAAACTATAAAAGCAAACAACACTGCGAACAAAACGAAACACTGCGGCTTGTGAAGTTTCTGCCCTGCTAGATCTGCCCCAGTCAACTGTAAGTGCTATTATTGTGAAATGGAAGCTTCCAGAAGCGACAACAGTATCACTTTCTAAATGACAGGACTGTATATTTATACATATACTGTATATAAACGCTGTGTTTGATACATATATACGTATAATTTTAAGGACACTTGAATTGTTCTAGCTGCTAATGCACAGTATAGCACAGTATTGACGTTTGCACACTGCATACTGTTTTCATGCCTGGTAGTCACAGCTACAATACACACAGAGTGTATGGTGTATTGTATATAATATATTGTTGCAATCCAAATAAAAATTTTTATTTTTCTGCAGCATTTGAACACGACAGCTGTCCTGTATATTGTGTGAAAATTTCATGATGAATGGAGCAATAGAAATGCTCCAACACTGCTTGGAATAAAATCTCTTAGATATAATGAGTTTTTCTTCCTTTATATGACTTTTTCCTATTCTTTTATTTTTGTGCTTTCTTTTACTTAGTCCTTGTGTTTTTATAGTAACTAGAGTAAGAGTTTCATTGTACAAAACTGTTTTGTTTTTCTGGGCACATGACAGTAAACTCTTGAATCTTGAAAAGCTGTAAACGACACAAAATCACAAAGTGTCATCTATCCTCTGTTGAATCACTCACTACAGAGCTCCAAACTGCCTCTGGAAGCAACATCGGCACAAAAACTGCACATTAGGACCTTCATGAAATGGGTCTCCATGGCTGAGCAGCTGCACACAAGCCTAAGATCACTATGCGCAATGCCAAGCGTCAGCTGGAGTGGTGTAAAGTGTCGCCATTGGATCAGTGGAAATGTGTTCTCTGGAGTGATGAATCAGCTTCACTATCTGTCAGTCTGATAATAAATCAGGGGATGCCAGGAGAACATTACCTACCAGAATGCAGAGCCAACAGTTTAACATTTTACACACTTATCTGCTTCCAGCTTTGTGTCAGCAGTTTGGGGAAGAGCCTTTCCTGTTCCAGCATGACTGAGCCCCTGTGCACAAAGCAGCTCCATAAAGACATGGAGTGACCAGTTTGGTGTGGAGGAACTCCAGTGGCCTGTACAGAGCCCTGACCTCAACCCCACTGAAGACCTTTGGGATGAACTGTAATGTCGATTTTTAGCCAGGACCTCTCGTCCAACTGCCAGCTATGCTTACCTAAAGCTCCTAGAACTAATTCAAGCTCTAATTAAACAGTAATTATGTCCTCTTATGTCAGAGTAACTGTACAGTAACTGCTTTTAACAGTGAACAGCTGCCCTGTGGGTCAGACAGAGTGGACAGGCTGGACTCACTCTCCAGAGCGCTCCCGCTATCCAACACCTGGATGTTCAGCTCCTTGGATTTGCCGCTCAGTTCACTGAACACACACACAAACAAAAAACAGGGAAATACAAACAGCTCAGACTTTATTCAAGTTGTTTACAAATGTCTGAAAGTAAACAACATAAGTCATGTGACTTCTAGAAACAGCATGTTTGTGAATGAATGTATCAATAAATGAATAAATAGTGGAGGTGTTAAAGGTATCAGCGCAGCTCCACTTTAAATAGAAGCTTTAGCCAAAAATCAAAGTCTGTTTGTGCTTGTTTTGCAATAAATAACACTAGAGGTGGACGATATGGCAAAAAATGTAATATCGCGATACTTCAAGAAATTTTTACAATAAACGATGCGCACAATGTTTATTTTTACTGACGTCAGATGAATGGAAAATGTAAGGAATTCAATTTCAATTCAATTTATTGAATATTCTTAACAAGAGGGTTCTTCAAGGTTTCTTTAGTAAAGACAATGGTTCTATATACAACTATAAACATTCAAAGGACCCTGCTTAAACGGTTCTTTGCATGGTGGAATGGTTCTTCAGATTGATGGAGAATGTGTTGTATATGGTTCTATACAGCACCAAAAGGGGTTCTGTTATTGTTACGATATCAAGCTTGTAACAGTAGAAGAACCCTTCTGGTGCTGTAAAGAACCATATACAACACATTCTCCATCATGAAGAACTGTTTCAGACTGCAAAAAACATTTAGCAGCCATCTGGTTCCATATAGGCCTATCAGCGAAACTAACGCTTTAAAGTGCGCCGTGCTGGATCTCTGTGTGAACTCACAATATAAACGGCTGCTCCCAGGACGGGGTGTGTGTGTTGGCCAACACTGAACTGGTCAGTTTCTGAGGAGGGTCATCCAACTGGAGAACACACTGAGGACTCACGCTGCCTGAAAAACAAACAGACATGCAGATTTACACTTTCATTCAGAATAGATTGGACCTCTTTATTCTCCTACTGTTTGTAATTGTGCTGTTGTTTCATTTAAGCTGTAATGTTTATCTTTCCAGTGCTTTGCCAGCTTCCTGTGTAAAGCTTTTATGCCTAAAATAAAAAAAAAACACAAACTGTTCCCTCTGGAAAGCTAGTCCAATCTCTGAACCCACAGGTTTACAGCTTCATTTACAAACACATATTATCAGAAATGGAATATAGTAACAAAAGCATGTTTTAATTAGTGTATATTCAGCTGTAACTCTGAATCGTTGTGTTGTTGTTATCTTAGAATGACCCTTCATATCTACATAGGGAGCAGCTCCTCTTCAACAGAGGCCACCATGTTGCGCTGCCATGTTTCTACAGTAGCCCAGGATGGACAAACCAAACTCTGCCTCTAGAGGGCGCCTTTCATGTTTTAGCTCTGAATTTGGTGGTGCTGTAGCTCCGGTTGGAAGAATCAGTGGAGCTGCCGGTGCTGCTGACCTTTTTGTGTTGTGAGAAATTTGAGAAACCAAATTTTAACAAACGGAGGATCAGACTTATTATTTAGTACAAGAGAAAGCGAGAGAGCGTAAATCCTCACCGTCAAAGAAGAGAAAACATGAAGAAGCAAAACAAAAATTGGGACAGACGACGACAGAAAACCTGACAGCCACTGTAGGTTCTACTACATGCTTGGAAAGGGTGGGGTGAGGGAGGGGGATTCAGCTGGGTGAAATCTGCAACTTCACCACTAGATGGCGTTAAATCCTACACACTGTACCTTTTATAGTGAGTTTAGGGTCAGTGAGTTTTCTGCTCTTTACCTGCTTCAGGGAAACAGTTGAAACTACTGTCAGTGATAATCGACTTACAGTGCAGACACAGCAGATAAAGAGTAAGGTAAAAAAAACTAGAATATTCCTTTAATCACCTTTAAAACATCTTGTCAATCCAGAAAGTGGAGTAACAAGAGCAGAAGGACTCTTGTCAGACAGAAGAGTGTGTTGTTTGAGTTTACCATCAGAGACACAATCTACAGCCTGAATGAATAATGCAGCAGCAGTGGACGCGATGCTGGACAGCAGTAAAAGCTCTCAGCGGCAGCAGGGCTATTAGCGTGGGCGGATATGAGCCGTAATTAGGGCTGACAGAAACATGCGCCACTTTAATGAATAAGACATGAGTTCAGCGCTGGCATCGGGCCAACAGCAAATTTCATCAATACAGTGTCTGAGAGTAACGAGCAGGAGCACAGCGCTGAGGCCGCAGCAGCTTCCTGCAGTACATCAGAGACGAACGGAAGCAGAGAGAAAAAGGAGAAGCGCCACTACAATCAGGACAAAGACTCACACACTTAGACACGCTAAATACGAAAATAATGTGGGCGGGGACACAGACCAATGATAAAAGAGGGTGGGGCCAGTGATAAAAGAGGGTGGGTCAGTGATAAAAGAGGGTGGGCCAATGATAAAACAGGGTGGGCCAGTGATAAAAGAGGGTGGGTCAGTGATAAAAGAGGGTGGGCCAGTGATAAAAGAGGGTGGGTCAGTGATAAAAGAGGGTGGGCCAATGGTAAAAGAGGGTGGGCCAGTGATAAAAGAGGGTGGGTCAGTGATAAAAGAGGGTGGGCCAATGGTAAAAGAGGGTGGCTCAATGATTAAAGAGGGTGGGCCAATGGTAAAAGAGGGTGGCCCAATGATTAAAAGGAGTGGGCCAACAATAAAGAGGGTGGAAACATGATTAAAGAGGGTGGGCCAATGATGAAAGAGGGTGGGCCAAAGATAAAAGAGAGAGGATCAATGATTAAAGAGGGCGCCAAAGATTAAAAGGAGTGGGCCTATGATAAAGAGGGTGGATCAATGACAAAAGAGAGTGGAAACATGATTAAAGAGGGTGGATCAATGATAACAGAGGGTGGATCGATGATAAAAGAGGGTGGATAATTGATAAAACAGGGTGGATCAATGATTAAAGAGGATAAAAGAGGGTGGATCAATGATAAAAGAGGGTGGATCAATAATTAAAGAGGATTAAAGAGGGTGGATCAATGAAAAAGGGGGTGGATCAATAATTAAAGAGGATTAAACAGGGTGGATCAATGAAAAAAGAGGGAGGATCAATGATTAAAGAGAATTAAAGAGGGTGGATCAATGATAAAAGAGGGTGGATCAATAATTAAAGAGGATTAAAGAGGGAGGATCAATGATTAAAGAGGATTAAAGAGGGAGGATCATGATTAAAGAGAATTAAAGAGGGTGGATCAATGATAAAAGAGGGTGGATCAATAATTAAAGAGGATTAAAGAGGGAGGATCAATGATTAAAGAGGATTAAAGAGGGAGGATCAATGATTAAAGAGAATTAAAGAGGGTGGATCAATGATAAAAGAGGGTGGATCAATGATTAAAGAGGATTAAAGAGGGAGGATCAATGATTAAAGAGGATTAAAGAGGGGGATCATGATTAAAGAGATTAAAGAGGGAGGATCAATGATTAAAGAGGATTAAAGAGGGAGGATCAATGATTAAAGAGGATTAAAGAGGGTGGATCAATGATTAAAGAGGATTAAAGAGGGTGGATCAATGATTAAAGAGGGTGAAACATGATTAAAGAGGGAGGGCCCAGTTCTAGCGCTGTTACTCTCAGTTGTGAGGCCTGTTTGTTTACCACTCGCTGAGACAGCGTCAGTTTGTTAATGCCGTTCTTTTTCCCGTAGAGATGAACAGCTCAGACCCGGAGCTCCTACTATGGGGTGACTACAGAACCTCAGAGTTCTGGTTCTGCTCTAAACGGCTCTAAACTGCAGGATTTCAGAAGTTTTTTGTGACCTGCAGCGTCCTCCTCCACGCACGTGACCCGGATGTTCTTCACTAACAGTTTCCACTCGTGTGCTCGAGGGGGTTTCGGTGGGGAGGCCAGCGGTGGGGTCCTGCTCCTGACTTCCTGTGGAAGAGAGCAGACAGGAAATAAAACACTGCCCCACGCACACCATCGATAAATAACATCCTCTACCGAACGCGGTTTAGGGATTTCACAGAAAGATCAGCAGCACAAAACAGACGAAACCGTCCAACACAGCCAGGCTGACTTCATCACGTAACCAGCAACATTCAAAAAATAAAATATCTTCCCTTCATTTTAACACCCGGATTATGAGCGTTACACAGTTATATACAGTATATATGAGTATATATGATCCTTACACACTGCACAGTGAATGCTGGACTGCTCTGCCTTTTCACAGTGTGTAATTAAACTGTACAGAGGCTTTAGCTCTTCTGTTAGTGCTGCTATAAGCAGTGACGGCTGCAGTGAACAGCCTTGTTCTCACTGTCCCAGCTCAGGAAAGAACGCTGCTCCAGTCCCAGCTTGTTCAGGCAGCTGGGAGCTCCAGATTAGATCGGTTATGGCTCTCGGTGAATGATTTACAAAAGTGCATTCTTACAGAATGGCATCAGGGGTCACAACACATTACTGTCTGCATGTGTAAATGTAGTAACTCATTAAACAGTTATCAAAAGCGGCTGCTGAGCCACAGCAGACTGACCCTCTAAACTACAGGCTTACTAACCAGCTACGAACTGTAAGACTAACTGTACAGTATCTCCTTTAAATTATTCACTATCCACTATGAATTATTCAGTAACTACTATGAATTATTCAGTAACTACTATGAATTATTCACTGTCTACTATGAATTATTCAGTAACTACTATGAATTATTCACTGTCTACTATGAATTATTCAGTAACTACTATGAATTATTCAGTAACTACTATGAATTATTCACTATCTACTATGATTTAGTATCTTCTATGAATTATTGAGTATCTACTATGAATTATTGAGTATCTACTATGAATTATTGAGTATCTACTATGAATTATTCAATATCTAATATGAATTATTCAGTATATGCTATGAATTATTCAGTAACTACTATGAATTATTCAGTATCTACCATGAATTACTCGGTAACTACTATGAATTATTCAGTATCTACTATGAATTATTCAGTATCTGCTATGAATTATTCAGTATTTACTATGAATTGTTCAGTAACTACAATGAATTATTTAGTATCTGCTATGAATTATTCAGTATCTACTATGAATTATTCAGAATTTGCTATGAATTATTCAGTATCAAATATGAATTATTCAGTATTTACTACAACCTTTTCAGTATCTACTATCAATTATTCAGTATCTACTATCAATTATTCAGCATCTTCTATGAATTATTCAGTATTTACTATTAATTATTCAGTATATACTATGAATTAATCAGTATTTACTATGAATTATTCAATATCTAATATGAATTATTCAGCATCTACTATGAAACTACTGTGTAAGTTCTCTAGTTGTGAGTGAGGGACTGAAGTGTGGACTAACATACAAACCCTTAGAGTTTAAAGGGTTAATCCAGATTAATCCTCTGATCTCCATGACAAACTAAGAAGCTGCTGGTGTGGCGTGTGTTATGTGTGTGTGTGTGTGTGTGTGTGTGTATGTGTGTGTGTGTGTGTGCGTTACCTTCACCTCTGCAGGCTGTGCAGGCCGGCTGCTCAGATTTACAGACGGGCGAGCATCACTCAGAACCTTCCGCAGTCTTGCCATCACCTCAGCTTCACTCAGACCCGCACACACTCCCTGCTGAAACACACACCTCGTCACACACAACTCTAAAGGGGAACTCCACCTATTTCTCAGAATATCTGCATAGTTAAATGGTTATGATGTAAACAGAGCAGTTCAGAGCGGTTCAGAGTGGTTTGGTGTGAAACGCTCTGTTCTAGAGAACCTTACCGAGTCAGAACTGTTCACAGTGGTGGTGATAGGAACCAGACGTCCACCTCTAAAAGCTCCCTCACAGAAAGTTACTACATGAAATGGTTATGAATTCACTGCCTGATGACTGAGACACTGTTTTATGAGAGTTTAGAGAACTTAAACTCCATTCATGGTGGAGGGATACATGCAGGGCGCTGTGAGGCAAAATAGTCCCCAAAGAAAACTTATTATTTCAGATTTTCCACTATTTTCCATCATCAACATTCCATATAAACTCAGAAGACTCGTGTAGGTTCACTGGTGGTTCTGGATAGTAAATAAAATGTCTATATCTGTGTTGTAGTCATGGCGACCCCTGGTTCCTATCACCACCACTGTAAAGACATCTGAACCATTTCACACCAAACCGTCTCTGAATCTCTCTGTTTACATCTCACACAGTGACTTATAAGGGAATTTTTACAACAACAGAAGTATGTATTTAATATTAAACAGGGTGCTTTTGTTACTGTGCCTTTAAGACTGATATATGTAAATAAGCTCTGCTCTGATTGGCTGCCATGTGTTGTGCCTCATTCAAATAGTGGTCCGAAACACTCCTTATAACTTCGAATGGGTGGGGCTAAACTGTTGCAGGCTGAATGGGCGGATATATGTAAATGAGCTCTGTCAGTTGTGACTTCACAACCACTATGAACTTGTTTTTGGAGCTGAGTATCTTTAATGATAACGAAAAGCACAAAAGTGAAGGAATCTTGAAGACGTTCTCTGTTTTTGGAGTGGTACCTGTGTGTAACTGGGCGTGAGCTGTATGTGTGTAGAGTCCAGGTGTTCCACTGCCCAGGTAACCTGCACCTGTCCATCAACCTCCCTCAGCTGCAGGGCCAGCTGCATCAGTAAACACACACACAGACATATAGACACGTATACATGTGTGGTGAGTTTTAAACAGACTTTAATAACTAAATAAATAAATAAAATCTAAATATAAAAGGCCAGAAACACACTGACACCAAAACAGTGACGTATTTATAAACTCTATCACAACTCAAACGTCTTAAGCTTGTTTAATAATATTGACAATAATAATAATAATACCAATAATAAACTCTTCACAGTGAAGAAATTAGTCTAAAAATGTACCTTTCTCATCTAAAAGTTAATGCAGTGCACATTTAAAATTCATTTAAGGCACAAAATTCAGCCTTAAAGACGGTTCTGTAGCATTATGTGCAGATTTACACTGTTTGTATGTTGGGGGACTAAAATGTTCCTGTACAGAACCCTGTATTCTGACTGTTCTAAAACAGCAATACTAAACAAATATAAGTTAAGAGTATTAATTTAAGTCACATGAAGCAAGAACAGATCAAATGAAAAAGAAATACAACAATATACGTATTGAAATACATAATGAAAGTTAAGAGTATTCACTAAAATCTGAATTCTGAAAGATTTATTTATTTATTTGACTTTAGAGCTGAACGATTTAGGAAAATATCTACATATATATATATATAAATATATATATATATACTATATATTATATATATATATATATAATATATATATATATACACACATGTATATATATATATATAGAGAGAGAGAGAGAAAGAGAGAGAGATTAAAAATCTCTTTTGCAAGTGAGCCAACAACAAAATCAACCCAGATCAGAAAAACACAATATGAGAGATTTATTTATCACCCAACACGTCAGCTCTGGAGCTCTGAGCTGCACTTTTGTTCAGTTCTGTGCAGCTTTTTCTTCATATTTTAGCTGAACTGCAGGTATTCATGACTGAACTTGTTTGAACATGACGCCACATTTCTCTCCGTGCTCATGTCCAAACAGCTGGACCACAGCGAGCCGCGTTTAACCCTTTAAGGTCAACACAACTAAAGGGCAGCGATTTCTGCAGTTTAATCTGCTCTTCTCCTTTAAAGTAACCTGACTTCTCTGTGCTCGTGTGTTTATATTGATATGAAAGCAAGATGATCTAACGAAGCTGAGACTGCCTACATCTTTACTTTAACTTTTCAGTGGCCTTTTAGGTCAGTAATAAGTGTTTCCGTAGCAACGTGCCAGAAACTATGGCTTTGTTGGAAAAAGCTGAATACATACTGCTCGTGTACTGGTGCAGTATACAGTATACACAGTACATACTGGTGCAGTATACAGTATATACAGTGCATACTGGTGCAGTATACGGTATATACTGGTGCAGTATGCAGTTTACAGTATATACTGGTGCAGTATACAGTGTATACAGTATATACTGGTGCAGTATGCAGTATATACAGTATCTACTGGTGCAGTATACAGTACATACTGGAGCAGTATGCAGTATACAGTGTATACTGGTGCAGAATGCAGTATACAGTATATACAGTATATACTGGAGCAGTATACAGTACATACTGGAGCAGTATGCAGTATACAGTGTATACTGGTGCAGAATGCAGTATACAGTATATACAGTATATACTGGAGCAGTATACAGTACATACTGGAGCAGTATGCAGTATACAGTGTATACTGGTGCAGAATGCAGTATACAGTGTATACAGTGAGATATGGATACAGTATGACAGTATATACAGATGCAGTATGCAGTATACAGTATATACTGGTGCAGTATGCAGTATATACTGTGTAGTATACAGTAAATACAGTATATACTTGTGAAGTATATAGTATATACTGGTGTAGTATGCAGTATGCAGTATATACTTGTGAAGTATACAGTATATACTGGTGCAGTATGCAGTATATACTGTGTAGTATACAGTAAATACAGTATATGCTTGTGAAGTATACAGTATATACTGGTGTAGTATGCAGTATGCAGTATATACTTGTGAAGTATACAGTATATACTGGTGTAGTATGCAGTATACAGTACACAGTATACTATTTCGAACACAGCCCACATCTTTGCAGCATGGAGCTTCTTTTACACAGTGATATGAAACACAGTATCTCACAGAGAGCTCCAGTTCTACACAGTGATCCATTTTACTGATCAATTACTATTAACGACTCCCATTAACTGCTCTGGAGGAGAGATTTTAATCAGAATAAGGGGACAAACACAAACCCCATGAATAGATCACCCACTAACGGCAGCAAAGAGCGGGTTAGTTTAATAATGACGATGATGGCTGATTGTTAGCGTAAGACACGCTTGAGTCCATATTTGTATAGAAATCCTGAAAACAGTTCACAGCTGGGCAGTGAAAGGTCACAGTAAACCACGTCTTTCTCTTTTCTTCTAGTGTTTATGCAAGAAAGTAAACATTGTGCAGTCTGATTAAATCTAAGAACAGAGCATCTATCATTTGTTCTTTTCCCAGACCACAAATACAGACCCTCAACTATTAACAGCTCATAGCGTTCATCCTGTTAAAGCGATAGTCCAGCCAAAAAACAGCCCCGTCCCCCCATCCGAGACATGCTAGGTGTGACGTTTTTCTTTAGTTTAGCACTGGAGCTATGAGGCTAATGTAGCTAACGAGTAATTAGCTTATAGCCCACCAATTAGCATGGTGCTAACTAGGGCTGGGACTAGTGGAGTAGTATGTATATTATACTGCACCAGTATATACTGTATACTGTATACTGCATACTACACTAGTATATATGGTATACTGCATTCTGTGTACCAGTATATACTGTATACTGCATTAGCATATGCTGTATACCACGTACTGCACCAGTATATACTGTATACTGCATACTGCTCCACTATATACTGTCACAGTATTTATTATTACTGTATAAATTAGATCACAGTGTGTCGCAGTATTCTTGGCTGAGTGTATCGTGGACAGAATCAGAGCTTTAAAACACTTCCCAGCTGCATGTTTGATTAAAGAGAGAGATTTAGTGGAGAGTATTATGAGAAATGTTGAATAAAAATAATTTATGCTGGCTGTATTTTTAATTACGGCACTAGTGGTTCTGTTTTTTGTCAGTTTCAATATATCAAATGTCAGATAAAATAATGTTTTGTAATTTTTTTATATTTTTAAAAATGTTTTTGAAGTATTATGACACTGATTTTGCCATATCGCCCACCGCTAGTGCTGCACACCTAAATCAAACTTCTAATCCCATCTTTTATGCAAACACATCCTGACAGATTTGTCACCGAACTATCGCTTTAATGCACGCTGCACATCTTGACTGCACAAATGTAAATTTGCATATATCACTGAAATTAATAATGCTATTGTATGTACTATATATTCACTGCACATCTATGAATGTTATTGTGTTTGATAATTACTTACACAGTGTGGACTGAAATACTGTAACCTACACTTCCTCAAGGGTTCTTTAGTAAAGACAGTGGTTCTATACGGAACCATGAACACTCAAAGAACCATTTGTATGCTTACCTTTTGTTTTGCATGGTGAAACTGTTCTTCAGATTGATGGAGAATGTGTTGTGAACAGTTCTATACAGCACCAAAAAGGTTCTTCTATTGTTATAATCTTCATATCCTCACTACAGCAGAACCCTTTTCAGTGCTATATAGAACCATAAATGCTCAAAGCACCACTTGCATGCTTAAATGGTACTTGGAGAATGTGTTGTATAGGGTTCTACACAGCACCTTTTCAAAAATGGTTCTATATAGCACCAAAAAGGGTTCTTTTATTGTAACAAGCTTGACATCATAACAATAGCAGAACCCTTTTTGGCATTATATAGAACCATTTACAACACATTCGCCATCAATCTGAAGAACATTTCACCATGCAAAGAACCGTTTAAGCATGCAAGTGGTTCTTTGAGCATTTATGGTTCTATATAGCACTGAAAAGGGTTCTGCTATTGTTATAATGTGAAAGCTGTAATAAGAGAAGAACCCCTTTTGGTGGTATAGAACCATTCACAACATATTTTCTATAAATCTGAAGAACGATTTCACCTTTTAAGCATGCAAGTGGGTCTTTGAGTGCTCATGGTTCTACACAGAACCATTGTCTTTACTAAAGAACTCTAGAGAACCATCTTTTTAAAGAGTGTGGACACCATAAGTATTTTTAGGGAACAGCATGAATGAAATGATCCACATGAAACTTTATTTATTTATTGATTGTTTGTTTGTTGTTTATAGCAATTCCTTGATAAGCTGTCTACCTCAATATGCATGACCTTCGTTCACCTCATTGTGGATGTTAATTTTATTAGAACTCATTCTACACCTTTCTCATCCTTTTCAGAACCTCCTGATGATCTGTAAGCGGTGACGTTGATCAGGACGAGCAGATTAGAACCATTTTAGTTTATCTGAATCACAGTTGGTTTTATATTAATAAAAACAGTGATTTCAATCTTCTGAATGCTGCATGTGTCAGTACAGTAATGCTGCATACAGTATATGTGGTATTTATGTTGACCTCAACAAAACATCTATTCTTTATATACGTTATACGTGGCAAATGAACGTCTCTGATGCGGATTATTCTGTGTCCCAGTAGCCGTGTGTCTGAAGCTGAAACCGAACCTCGCTGACCTCCACGGCAGAACAATGGCTGAAACGTCCAGACATTCGCCAAACAAAAGCAGCTAAACAAGCGCAGTGAGCGTTCCAGCAGCAGCAGCTCAGCTCAGAAAGAGCCCAGAGCCGGAAGAACCTTCCAGAAGACCTCAAATCACTGACTGAACTACCCACAAACACAGTCAGCAGCACAGCTACTCCCAGAAAGCGCAACACTTCAGGAGCAAATCAGAAATGATCGATGTGTGTCGCCTTCACATTCATCTGCACTTCATATTTATTATTAAACTGAAATACTCCCTTTCACATATGTGCGATATCCTCATGCGCAGAACCACAGGTGCTACATTCTTTTATTCTTTTATATCCACCCT